GCCACAACTAGAAAGAACAGTGGAATACTACAGATAAGAGCACATGTGGAAGCAGAAAACAGACGTGAAAAGAGGGGCAACAAAGCCACTTGTATTGTTCTGAACTCTCCTTTACTCTCTCTTTATCCTGGAGACCTCTCAATTTTTTTTTTCCTTTTAAAAGTATAGCATATGTGGATCTGGTTAGTTATGATGACAATGGCTCAGTGAACTGTAAAGCAATCTGACGAACAATTATCTTACACTGTGGCTTGGGAGTAATGTAAAAAGATGTTTATTATCAAAACACAATCATGAATCTGAGATTTATAAACTGTGACAAAAAGGAGGGAAACCTCGGCCAGAAACTGCATTCATATGGAGAATTATCATGGTTATTGAAACCAGCATGCTGGAGCTTTCGCAGTATCTCTGACTGGGGGAAAATAATACATGACACACATGGCTGCAGGAACCAGATATATATCAAATGAATGTGAGGAGCCTATCAAATCTTCTCTTGAAAGGCACAGTGAGTGTTTTAGGTTTTAATAGGTTTTATTTTAATAGTTCTGATTTTATTTTAATAGAAATTCCCACTTCACATGATTATCAAGTAGGCATCAATAATACAACATTGCCCCTAGTGGAGCCCATGGATTACTACTGCAGTTCACTGCCAGTCCTCTGCACACTCATTTTGTGCATAAATTGCCCATGTAACACAATAATCTAAACAATGTAATTACTGATATCTATTGAGTTACTGACCATATATTAAGCAAAGTTGTGTACTGCTGAGTGTGCAGTCAGACACTGATTGATGACAGGAGGTGGCAGGTCCTCATCAGAGTTCACCTGATTAATATCCGGCCCTTCACTACTTTCCTCAGAACTAATGGCTCCCTGTCTCACCCTGTCTATTATTATCATTCAATAATTAGATCTAAAAGAAGATGGTTCTGTGTGTGTGTGTGTGTGTGTGTGTGTGTGTGTGGAGGGGGGCGGGTGTGAAGGTGTGTGTGGTGACATGTGGACTGCAAGTATATTGGATTACAGTTCGTAAGTTGGCTGTCTGCACTTCCTGTGATAGTCGAATGTAACATGTAAAATTAATTCAAATTTTAATGAAATGCAAATTGTAAGTGAATTTTTACATTTTTTAATTTGACGGTTATGTTTTCTTTTTGTTGTTTTTTTAACTACCAGAATTTTTACTTTAGCTTTTTCAGGTAAAGAGAGGTTTGGTCTACAATATGTATATTCTGCACACCAAACATCTCTGAAAACTTCTGTATCTTAGCAAGTCATGTGATGACCAATACTGCAGAGGATTAAAACTAATTCAGAAAACACTGATGAACCTCACAGGAAAGCAAATCAGGATCACTGGGGGCTTGAGCCAGGACCTATGCGAGAGGATAATATGCAAACGCCAAAAGGACAGGCAGTGCTGACCACCACATCACCAACTTAGACACACACAGAACACAATAATACTGTATATATTCTATTAAGAAGCAAAACAAGTATTTTAAGCACTAAATACCCAAGAAAACCAAAACTTCACACTTAAAGGTCCCAGAAGGTAAAAAGGAGAGGATAGCCAATCATTAATCCATGGATTCATTTTGTATGGCTGCTCAATCCAAGTCATGGTTGAAGGGAGGCCAGGGGCCTAAAGCACACCCTGGTCAACACACACACTGCAGGTACTTATAGAAATGTCCTGTAATATACAATTTTGAAAAAAGAGAAGTACTCATCAAAAGTAAGTGAGTGACAATAGATACTGTGATTTTACATCTTAGTCCTGGTTTGGACTGGATAAATATAGTTACAGCAATAAGGTTTCTACCTCATAAAAGTAGAAAATAACTAAAAACCACAACAACTAAACCAACAACTAAAAACCACAACAAAGAGCCTCTATCTTTGTTTAAGAAATGTTATTTTTCTCCTTTTTTTCTATTGTAGCAGTATGGTCAAAATGATTTTTAATGTTAATGCCTTTCCTATATAACCTGTTTGAGTCTCTAATAATTTTCTAAATAACAAAAGAAAACACTGCATGCTTTCTTTCGATGTGGGTGACCCTGACCTTTGAAACCATTCCTATTAGTTACTGTAATCTTTTAACTACAGCATGCAGCAATTATAAACTTCTCAAAATATTTTTTTCTGTGGTTTTACTCAGTGTGCTGACTGTGTATCTCAGACATCAGTAGCTCCCTGTTACATGGCCATTATGGGCCTCACAGACTCACACAGTAATTTTGAATAAATAAAGCAAGTCACCAGAGGGAAGCAGGAAAACACTTTGAGATAGGATTTCTCACCTACAGAAAAGCTGTTGCAGTGACACAGACACTGAAATCCCCTTGAGCACTGAAGCGTTCCTGGAGGAACCACATGAGATTAGCTTCTTCTTATTTGCCTTACCTACTTTGCACAGTTATATAATTGAAGTGTCATTCTCTTGTTTTCAAGACTTCAGTTTATTTTCCCCAGTCGTCCAACCCGTATCAGTCCCAACACTGTGCAATAGCAGTGTTAAAGATAAAGCAATCAGAAAATGGACAGTCTTCCAGTCGTCATTACCTTCTTTAAAATAGTATAACGTTCTTGCAGTGTTGAAAGCATCACATATTTTCTAATATGGATTGAAAGAATATTACATCAGGGCGCTAAATATCAGCTGTAATAGCTGCTGTGATTTTAGCTGCACATTTTTAATTTTTAATTTGTTTTCATTTTTTTATTATCATTTTTTTTAAGCTGTACATTTTTCCTACCTTTCTAATGTTTTTTTCTTTTCTTTTTTATTTAGAAAAAAGGTGAATTAACCAGTTGTAAATTATTGCCATGGTACAATATCAAGATCTTACCCAAGCTAAGCGCCACACTGATAAAGCATCCAAGGTTCATTTAACAATCAGCCGTGATGATGGCACTGCATACGTCAAAGGAAGAAGTCTCATTCATATAATTAAGTGTTCACCTATGAAGATGTGGACCACTAGGCTTGCAGATATAGAGAGAGGACAGATCTGTAAATTGATGTTATTTTCAAGCTTCAGCCAATTTAATGCATTTAAAGATCAGGTGACTGAAATATTCCTCATTAACAATTAGAGTATATATATTTTTTTTTCTATACAAGTTCCACTTAAAAGCACAAACACCATTTGAATGTGCTTGTAAAAGTTTGCCGGACTTTAATTGCAGAGGATCAAGACAACAAAAAATGTCCAAATCTCTGCTTTGAGGCTCTGGGTGTGGTTACTCCCCATGCAGTGCGTTGGTCTTCATCTTTCTGTAACAATATCTTACTTGGAGGAGGTTCAAACATAACAACTTTTAACAAGCATCTAGTCCAAAGTACATGCAAAGCACATGCTTTTGTTCACTGAATAAGTTTAGCTGGACCTCAGATGAATGATGACAGACAGTTTAAACACACCAAAGTGGAATGTGAGAAAATACATGCCCATAAAATCACAACAAATCAATATTACTCCAATGTAAAATCTATCAATATACGTAGTTCAAATAAAGCTGGCCAAATACATTCACACTGGTCAGGGGAAGCTGGAGAACACATTTCAAATAAAAACTGTGCTAATTAAGCTTTTTGAGCATTTAAGTTCTGTGTTAGTTGATGTAAACAGGTTTATGGGGGGGGAAATGAGCATGACTTGTGCATTAGATAGTGTCAAAGAGCAAACTCTGTTTTGAGGAAAATATTGTGCAATGCTGTAACTTTTTTATCAGCACGGACTGCATCACGCTGCCGGCTCAGTGCCAGCCGCATAGCTGGGAGTGATGAGAAAAGTGAGTCGGAATTCATCAAATTACAAATGCATTTCACTGTGTGTGTGGAGATGGAGCATATCACTGACACTGAATCCACTAAAACAAATCAATCTGTTTCTCAGAAGAAATCTGCTGAAAATAGAGCTATAAAAAAACAGGACGGGTTCATCTGGAAAGAGACGTGGAGGGACTTTTTGAGGTGTTGGCCTTCACTTTAGGTTTGGGTTGAGTAATAAAAGAAAAGATAATCACTCTAGGAAACAGTCTAACATTTGGCAGTGGAAGATTTTATTGGCAACCAAACAAACGAACCAAACCAATCTGGAAAAAAAAGGCTTAGGCACACATTTGAAAACTGTTGGAAACACTTTATTCAGGCAACACATCTTTATCTTTTAAAATGTGTGCAGTTGGGCGCCTTCAACGTGCTGAAATAGATGACAATAGGAGGGCTGGAGCCTCTCGCCAGAAATTGGGCGAGAGGCCAGACACAATCTGGACATTGCCCTGGGGGCGAGTCTTCAACCAGCGTGCATATTTTGGACTGCGGGAAGGAGCGGGTGTACCAGGTGAGAACCCATGCATACAAAGAGAGAACATATAAACTCTACACCGAAAGGGAATTGAACCAGGAACCCACCTGTTTGGTGCAAACCGCCGCTCCACCGCGCAGCTGCAACATGACGATGCAAAATCATTCAGACAGGAGAGAAAGTACAAGCCAAAACCCATGCTGAGACATCTCAGAAGTGCACCTTATGACTACACACTCATTTATATACCTCTCCACAAACTCTGCAAACAAATTTTCGAATTCAAACAAACTAGGAAAAGCTGTGTATATGGTGTAATCTGCTGTTGTCTCTCCAGAATTTCTCTGGCTGTGCTTTTGCATTCCCACAGGCATTAACTCACACATTCTTGTGACCCTGGATTAATAGCTGTGTTAATAAACAACCAAGGAGGCAGGGTCATCAGAGATACTTCCCCTTCTGTCTGAGGAGGCAGAGCAGCTGAGGACAGCTTACGCCCTCAGAACTGCCACCACATTTGCCGGTGCTCAGATTCGGTGACAGATCCTGATTTAAGTTAGACATGAGCCTAATTGTTTCCATCCGCGAATAGCTCCGACCTGCTTTATTTTAATCATCAAACACCTCCAGGAGCAGAAAACTAAGACATTTCAACTCTGATCTCCAACAAAGAAGCATAAAGTGACTGAAGTGATCATGAGCGTGAGGAGGTCTTCGCTGCTGTCCCTCACCTGCGTGTTTTTACCTGCTGTCGGATTTGCGCTGACATGCATTGGGGCCTACCTGGTGTCCCTGCAACCGGACACCAGGCTTAAGTCTGTACCTGTTTATGCCCTGATTGTTTTTGGTTTTTTGGCCATGCTCATCGGGGTCTTCTATGTCCTCTGCAAGAGCATGACGAGTAAGCTGTACCAGAGAAGACCCAGTGAGCGGCACATCCAGATCTTCGCTATTGAAAGGTGAAACTAATTCTTTTGAAACATTTCAGTTCAAATCTAATGAGACCGTATTTGAAATGTTGATCTTTAACACGTAAAATAAACTCTGAGTTCCGGAGTTTACGGCTCTCATGACACACATAAAAGTCTGGCAACTGAAATTGGACCGACACGGAAAGGAAAATGTTTCTGTACAGCTTGAAAACAAGTTTGTGTTGATGGGTTTACTCATCGAATTTACACTAGATCTTTTTGCCTGCAGACCACGCTCCTCTCCTCCATCGTACGATGAGTCTCAAACAAACCAAATCCGTCCCGGTCGTCTGCCTGAGGTAGCTGTGCCTGTTGATGGAGTGGACGTAACGCTGGGTTTGGCTCCTCCACTTTACAGCCAGGACTGTTCTGAGGCCCCAAACTGCACATGGAGCTGGGAGCCTCCACCACAGTACAGTCAGGTGGCACACATCCAGCATGGACAAATAGATCAAGGAAGGCTTTTTCCCTGAATGGTTGAGAAAAGAGGGAGGACTGAGAGTTGCATGTCTTCCAGACAAAGACGATGTTGGGAGAAAAAAAAAAAACCACTGGAAGTTTCACATTGTTGTCGGATTGCCAGACTGTAAAATGACAGCTGCACACTGAGTGGGCATGGAAATGTGACGTCAGAGTGGACTCCGTGTTCAGGGTCTTTCCATCGGTGCAACATGCTGGGTTCAGATGGGTTGGACTGTTACTCAGGTTGTATTATCTCAGCATTCTGAAATATGAATAAGGAGCACTTTTGGGAGACAAAACCCTTTTGGTTGAATGGCAAACAAAGATTGAGAACTTACTTTTGTCTTAACTCTGGCTTCAGCTTAAGCGCCATTATCATCTAATACCGCTTAAAAATGACAGAAACCAATTCAATAATGTTCCCCCTGCTAGAATGTGAAATGTTTTCTAACTTAAACATTTAATAGTTCTGCCACACTGCATGTGGTCTAAGAGGTTCCACATCAGTATGTAGGATGGGGCTTTTTACTTAATTTGTCATTTGTGACTGTTGTATTTGTGTCAAGATTGTGTAAAGATTTGTAAATCGTCTAACCACCTTTATATGTGTAGAATTAACATACAAACAAAATGTTGATGGTGCATTTCCTCTTTTAAACAAACTCTTCCAATTGAGTTTATAACAAAGATGGACTAATATTCAGAAATAAAACTAAATTGTTCAAGCAATAAAAAAGTTTTTACATATCACTCAGGATTTATTTTATTTGCCAAATCCAGATTAATTATGTAGGACTTGTGATGGATTTATCTATTTATTTGTATAACCCATGTTTAACTAGAATATATCGATTCATCTCCAAAACCCAAAGTGTTTTTGAATTACAGAAGTTAAGTCTATAAACATTCTTCTTTGTAAATCTCTTCAGTTTAAAATTAATTTGAAAACTAGTCCTAGATTTGTGTTACCCTAATGTTTCCATGTGAAAGATCAGCTGTCGACTATATAGATTATATGATATCATTATTCCCTAAAAAAAAATTGGAACCCTGTTTACGCCAACTTGAAATTAGACATCTTACAACTGTCCCACTATTCACCCACAGTGTTTCACAAGTTCTCTGTACACCTTATCTATGTCTTTATCTTTTATTAGTCTCAGACCATATCTATTCTGCTCTATATGTTCAGAAGCTGTAGCCAGTTTCATTCAGGTCAAAAACAGGACAGGAGTGCATGACGCAAAAGCACACCGAATAGCACCCATAAACAAAATAAAGACTTGTGGAGCAGCGACGGTAACTTTGCAGCAAGCATATATTTGTGCAGATAATTAATGAAAGTAAAAGTTGTTGGTGCTATTTTTTCTAACAGAAGTAAGTAATAACTAAAATAATCATGCTCATACATTTTATGCACTCTCTATGAAACAGTTTAACTAAAACCCCAAAAAGTTATTTATTTTCAAAACACATTCATTCACAGGATTTTGTGTAAGACATAAACCCTGGTGTCATAAAACATGTGAATGAGGGCTGACAACCTGGAATGGCTGACTGACAGAGTGATTGCATCCTTTCGGATATCCACTGGCATATCCTGAAACTTATGACGATGGTAATCAAGCTGTTTATGAGTTCCTGTCCTCTTGGTCATAAAAGCTCAGCCCTCATTATTCCTCATTGCAACACAACAACTTAAACACATTTCTTACTCAGCTCTGGTGTGGCGCTCCTAATTATGAAGAACTTGTTTAATGCCAAAGAGCAATGTCAGCGTACCGCTGTAATGTGTGTTTATTTATTTCCACTATGTCTCAATTGATTTAAAGCAAACCATTTCAAACAAGAATGTTCATTTGGATACAACAAAGCAAAGGAAAAGCATGTTTTTTCTACTTTGCTGCTTCTGTTCCCCACAGACAAGATAAATAGGACACAAAATACAGCTGGCCTTGTGGTGCTTTACCAAATTTAGGTTTAGACAAATGGGTAAGAGATAATTTTGTGGGAGTCAATCAAAATAAAATTATGAAACATTGCTGTTAAAGAGAAGAAACAACAAACGAAACAAGAGACTAAATTCATTCTTATCTGTTTCACAAGTAACACAATAGGAATGAGTGGCACTTTCATAGTATATTTATTGTTTATATATTCTTAATCATCTATAGCGGACGGATGATAGCCAAAAAACAGTCAAAAAATGATAAAAATGACTTCAACATTCGTTTTGCTTAATCCAGAACAACACATCTTAGATAGTAAGGAGCAAAGAAAAGTGAGAAATGGAACGGAAGCTGCAAGGATGGTATTTTTAAAATGGTAGATAACATTATATGAAGTAAATTTTCTCAGTGTGAGCTGGTAGGTGCTTTTTTTGTGTGTACACGTGGGTGTGTGACGTCTCTCTGCTGCTCATGTGATGACATTTGGACCCCGGCGTCCTGTCCTCTCGTGAATGTTGGAAATCTTCAGGGCGATGGCGATGAGAGGACCCAGCACCACCTGAAGAAAGAGAGAGCGCCGTCATTTAACCGACACAACGTGTAATATCAAGCACGAAAAACACAAAGCACCTTAATGATATGTCAGTTTGACTTTACAGGGGCTCGACCTATTTTGGTGACTTGCTTCTTTTGTGTTACGAATAATCCATTACTAAAACAAATGGATTACTGATTTTAAAAAAAGTCTATGGAGTGAACGTGTTGGTATAAATATCTGAACACAGTTGCTGAAGTGCATCGCATGTGAGTTTGAAGTCATTTAGAAGAAACTAAGCCATGTACTGATCATCCCACAATGTTTCCACATGTGAATCATGTGAATGTTTTTGTTTTGGTGTAGAAATATATGACTCCGTTAGAGTCTTATCTTGTCTTTATCTTGTCTTCAGCTCATGCGGTTGTATGATGGAACATTCATGACTGGTTAAAAATAAAAAATAACAAAACATATATATATATATATATATATTATATACGTTGGTGTGTGGGGGGTGTAAGAAAAATGAGGGAATAAACAAATAATCCATTTCTTTAGCCTGAACAAAAACACAAACTGTTTAAAGTCATACGGTGGAAAGACCAAATCTAAACGATGTCCTGTAGCCATCATGACTTCAACTTTACAACCCATCACTGTGTTTAAAGTACACTACCCATCCCAACATCTATAACCACTTAAGAACTAAGTGTTCCCAAACTTTACAGTCTACAGGTCCATCAACTCCTGCCATGCCACTGAAGTGGAATAGGATGAGTAAGCACTCCTGTAACCGTCCAATCCAGTTTACTCTGACATACAGAGTAATTTCAAGTAAACAATTACTACCGAGTCAAAGAGGCAGATGCTCGTCAGTGTTTTGGATAATCTGCAATGGTGATAAAACTGTGTATCAACATTCTCACATGATCCCAAGTTTATTAAAATAGATCTATAACACCACAATAAAGACTGAGAGTGAAATGTGAAACATGACAGGTGCATGTAAAGGCCGAGCTGTTGCAAAAAAAACACCCACCAACAGACAGTCTCCGTACCTGAGTCTCTCTGTTGTGTCTCTCGGGGTCTCTCTCAAAGCTCTCGGCATAAATACGGATGGTTGAACCCATCCCTCCTCCATTCCCGCTCATGCGAAACACCAGACGGGACGCGTCTGTAAAGATGATCCTTAAACCCTAAACAGAAACAAAGATTTTTTTTTTTGTGAGCGAACGTGAACTATGAAGGATTTAAGTTTAAAAATAATTAAGTACATTTCTGCTTAGGTTGGCTGAATAGAGGGCTAAATACACCAGTATTCTGTATAATGCACATATACTGAACTAGGAATTTCTTTTAATCCCTTCATCACTTCCTCAGTCCACTAGATGTCACCAACAGTGTGGAGTTTCTTGGGGAATTCTTTCTGTGGGTAATACACGATGTCCCTGATAATACTAACTTCGAAGCTGATTAGGTTTTTTTTTTAAACTTTGACAGGCCTCATGATCACAATGCCCTAAAAGAGAAATTCTAAGATGTTTCACCATTTGGTTCAATATCTCAACCTGTAGCTGTTTTGATTTACTTTTCCTGACAGAAGAGAAGAACATTGATTTTTTTTTTAATCAAAGTCTAACTATAAACCTAGCCTCAGTATTTTAATTTTTGTGATGAGTAACTTCACTACGTCCTCTCTTGGCTGACACAAGGTGGATAAGACACATAAATGTGTGATGACACTTATCTATCCTAAATTCTAAAGAATATATCTTTTAAGAGAAATCATAGCAAATAAGTTGGGATGACTTACTTTAATTAAACCAACATTCATTTGAATTCACAAGTAGATTGTTGTAACTATTGAAAGCTTTAGTTCAACCAACTGATCCCCAAGAAATGTACAACTTGTCTTGATGTTGACGGATGGAGTATTTTGGAAATATATGACAGTAAATACCAAGTACATTTTCATCAGTCCATCAGCTGTTATAACTCTGGCTGCTGGGGGGTAAGTTAAAGTAGCAGTAGATATGGGCTGTGATTATGAGAGATGCCTGTCTGTGTGTGTGTGTGTGTGTGTGTGTGTGTGTGTGTGTGTGTGTGTGTGTGTGTGTGTGTGTGTCTGTGTGTTTGTATGTCTGTCTGTTAGAGTGGCATCTCCTCTCTAACGGAATGGAATGAAAGTCATTAAAGGGCTTGTTAATCCTTATTAAAATCATAAGGGTAATAGCTCAGAATCTATGAGAGAACACATTCATCATTTCATTCTGCTTTAGAGCCATTTGACAAAGTTGAGACATAAATAGATCAAATACTTTATATCTTAAATATTCTTCACATTTGGTCAAAACTGGTTTAAAATCAAGCTGATTAATCAAGCTTTAGGTTCAAGAACTAGAGCGTTTTTTTTTTTTAAAGCAGTCCACAAAGAGAGCCAGCTGAAGAAGAAAAATAGCCATGGCTCATCCTAGCTGGAGATAAAATTAACTCAAGAGTCATTGTTAATTGGTGATTTTTCCCTTTACAAAATTACAACTTTAATGAGCTAAAAGGTGAAAAATGAATGAAAAAAACACGGAGCAGAATGTAACTTAATCCACCAACTGTCTGTGTGATATGCGGACAATGCAAAATCAATTCAGTAGCTGTCTGCAGAAAGCTGCCATGTCGCTGCTGTGTAAATCCCCCAAGCTTTGTCTTGTGCGTTTGTGTTTGAGTGTGTTTGTGTCTGAGCGCCAACTTTCCCCCCCCATGCAACGGAGAGGCTGCAAGTGAGACGACAGCTGATATAATTCTGTCCTGGGAGGAATGTGTGCTGTAATAACAATCGCTGGGGCGACTGGGTTGCTAAGGATTTACCATTTTGGGGAGACTGACTAACTAGTTGTAGGTCTGCAGTAACCATGGTAACATAAGAGTTTCTTGCAGGAGGGTGGAATGGAATACCTTTTGTCTTTAATGCTATAGAGGGTGAAGCCCTGAAAGGGTGTGCATATGTTTAAAGACACAAGGTAGGATGCACACATTTAACTGGTGTGTGCATGTGCCTGTTCTGATATAAGTGAAGATGTGTGTGCAACAGAAGGGGGAATCTGTTACACATATGTACTAACATTTTGGGAAGGTGTTAAAGTAGGAAATAGAAAATCCTATTACTTGTGTGGTTAGTCAAGAAATTTGAATGAGCCTCCTTAAATTTCTAACTGTGAGGTCCTCAGAAGTCATATAGAAATGACAGTGTGTGTATGTGTGTGTGTGTGTGTGGTGTTAGGCGGGTCAGAAGCTAAGAAGTACTGACGCCATGAGTTTCCACACACACGCCAAACAGAGGAGTCAGCTGGGTAAACTTCAGAGAGCAAGAGGGAGGAAAAGAGGGTGACAGGAAGGTTGCACGGAGCAGCGGCTTATCAGGGTTGGAATATGCCCCACATGTCGGGTGTGTGTGCTCGTGTTTACAGTTTGAAACGGAGAACAGACCGTCTGGTCCAAACGTGGAACTTTCAGTAGGTGGTCTGAAATAGAAGTTTATGAAAAAGTGGATGGAAGAGACAGTGAATGAATATATATACACCTTCAGGCAAATATGAAATGTGAATGCAGATTTTGGGATCAGGATGCGATTTCTCAGAACGTTTTCCATTCATCCTTTTTGTTGGTCGGCAGAGCTAACTGTCTTGTCATTTCATTGTCATGAAGCTAACTCTGTACCTCAGTTGTGCTTCTGTACAGCATTTCATTTTTTACCACCTGTAAATACATATAGTCAACCAATAAAAAGGCTGAAATTTATAAGGCTACTTAGCATGGGTGAAAACCTTTATCTAACTATTATTTTATATTACAGCATGCATATCCGGTATTCCACCACTGACCTGGTTCCGAGCCACCGTCCCATCCACGGGGTCAATGTACTCAAAGTTGTCGGCCCTCTCGACACAGTAGATATGGTCCCCAACAGCAAACTTCTGACTGGTGAATGCTTTGTCTGAGATTACTCCCTCCAGATCCCTCATCAGGTAAAAGGCTGGACGTGGATCCAGGCCTTCATAATCAAATCTGACAATCACGCAAGAACAATCACAAACTGGAAAAGTAGACGATCAGAAAATGCTCACTTGATGAAGCAATAAGTTACCAGAAGTTCACATAAAGATACAGGAGGTCAGTTAGAGCTGAGTATTTATTGTCTGCATTTAATGTCTTTATTTCTGGAGTGTTGCATTTTCTTCTCCAATGCATTCTTAAGCTGGTCTACTTTTCAAATCACCTCAGTAGAATCTCTCATATCACTCGAATTAGACTAGTGGATTACCATCGAACTTTGAAAAGGTCTGTGTAACTGACTTATTTTTCTCAACATGAAGACAGATGTTTTATAGATTGGGCTCTTGTCTCTGCCCTTATGCCCTTTTATATCCTGTGGGAAATATCCATCAATTTGGGAAAAAAGTTCTCTGTGAACATAAAAAGCTACAGAAACTTTCAGTGGGAACATCGACTACAACTGTCACAGGGGACAAGTTTAAATAAGAACAACTAGCAAACAAGATTAAGTTAAAGGAGTGGAAAGCACACAGTATTGAGCATTGATATGGACTTAGATAAAACCATCATTTAAGAACGTTTCAAGGGGTTAAATGGATTATAATAATCCTGAGCAGATGTCTGCCAGAGAGCCTGCTCAGCTGGTTACCTGCAGAAGAAGTTGCGTCCAAACTTGGCCCAGTGCTCTCGGACAATCTGCTCAACACCCTGTTTCCTGGCCGCCATGATGGACAACCAAACTAACACTGACCACAAGCCATCTTTCTCACGAATGTGGTTTGAACCTGGAGGACAAAAAACACACGATCACAACACTGTTTCTCTAAACGGTCGATATGACGTTCAGTCACGTGTCTGTTTGGTTAGTTACTGTTTGTGTACCTTCCAGGGCAGGATTGTTTGGTCCTGTAAACGACTGAGGCATTTGGACAAACCCTGATACCGGTATTTAAAAAAGCATGGACGAAAAACAATTCCTTTTTTATGAATACAGTTCCCTGGGTTCCCTCAAATATCAACTGTCCATCTCTTAAAGCAACAAAGTCATGAAGATTGCTAACTTTCATTAAAAATACATAATACATAGTGACAAAGTCATGCTTATGACCTGACAACATTTAGTGTTTGCATTAAATGTAGAAAATTAGAATTTTAGTATTTGTTTAAAATCAGAATCAACTCGCTAAAAAATCCTGACATCTTACTGGCATTTATGTGTTTACCTGCGGGGCACCAAGAGCAGCAATGAATACATAACAGGAGTTCCATTACCTTCAGCTAACACTACCTCTCAGGAGAAAAACTGAGATTAGAAGAGATGGCAATCCACTGTAACCTGCAGGCTGTGCTGGACCAGACTTTCTGATAACAGCTACTGTGATGGTGATCATCACTTTACACGTCATGACTGACAGTGAGCTGTTGGGTGTCTTGCAAACAAATACGCTTTAATCAATGCTTACTTTTTTCTATATGCAGGCAGAATACAGAATGCAGAACTCTAAATCATCTTCAATAATGACTTTTCAAAAAGGGAGGCGAAGAGTGTTACAGCGTTTCTTCAGAGCCCTTGTGGAAAAATACAGTATTCACCTTTGCTATTCTAATTATGAATATAGAGCCAGAAAAACGTAATCATGTATCAATCATCAACTTTAAATAAATACTGAATGGTTTATTTTTCTCAAGCTATGTATTTTCCTTTACTGCATGTTATTGAAGATAAGAGACACGATGGAGACGAAACCAAACATTCGAGAACTATGTCTATGGCCTGCCCAAGAAACGCACACACAAACAGAGGAGCCGATCACACCCAGCGTCTCCTTCAGAGGGGAGCTATCAATCTGTTCACAAAGACAGCTGCACGGTAAAGGTATCTCTTAGGTTAAGAATGTGTCAGTAATGTTTCCATGTAAGAGCTTGAAGTGGAAAATGGACTCAGCTGCTAACAGGTATCATTCTCGGTCGCTCTCTCCCAAATTGTTTTTAAAATGCTTATGTCTCTTTTAATGTTTAAATGTGTTCCACTATTATCCCCACTGAACATTTAAATTAAGAGAAATATAATGTCAAATGGTGTGTTCGGCTCCATGAGTGTACAGTTGTTAGGAAACTAACAGTTGCCATTATCTAATCCCTGCATCACTGTGTCTCTCTTTGTCTGTCACTCACTTTGAGAGGATCATAAGGTGTCAAGATTTGTACTGGTAAAGCCAAGCGGTTCTCATTACAATACAGCCACCCTACTCAGCTCAACGCCACCACCCAATGTCCTGCTGTTATGAGGCTACTGAAAGTCTGAACGAGAAGTCCTCTACAGGATCTAAAAGGTACATCTAAAGGTTGATATTACCATTCTACATTATTTGGAAGATTGAAACAATTTTTTAGACACATTGTTTCCAGAATATAAGATGGATTATTTTCTTTAGTTTTATTTAACATTGCACATTTAGAAATGTGGCTAAATTAACACTGTTCATTTTGTGTGTCTTCCGAGGGTTAGGGAGCAGGAGGGTGTACAGACCTGATGATTTACTTTACAGAACTCCCTCTGAGCTTTTTGCCTTACAAGGATAGACAACCAGCGAGCTCCCATGTTCCTCTGAGCTCTCCAAGTCTCTGCTTATTCCGCCTCTCTTGTCCTTGTCTATATTTCTCATATTTGGTTTCTCTCACTGTCCCGTCCTTTTTTTCATCGCTCTGACTATCACCACCTGTATACTTATTTTGTTCCTGCCCTACGCTTCTGTCTCTCTCAAAAAGTAAACATGAAATGAAAAAGTTCATGAAATAAGCAAAGCTATACACAAAGGCAAAGACTGCATTTTGGGTCAGATCAGAAATGTGCTTCAATGGCCAAGAGGGCTGCAAAGATAAACAGATGCACAAAGCTGCAGATATGTAGGTCTGTGTGGGCACATTATCTCTATTTCCTCGCCGTCTGTATACATGTCTCCTGTTGTATTCATTTCAAAACATTGCCTCTGGAGACCTGTCTGCATGTTGCAGTGATTCATGGGAGCTCCTGTCTCCTTTTATAGCAGAAGAATGAGGATTATTTACACATGCAGTGAGGGTCACAGCCTTCTCGTCTATTAGTTAGCACGGACTGGAGCTACAGGCTGTCAGGATGTACTTTTTAAAACTCAAGACCTGAAACGAACTCCTAGAGAAGCATATATGTGATTTTAAGCTGACATCTGAGCACCTTTTTACAACCTCTTTGAGCCGTTACCCACTGGTGTTTCTCTATCCCCTCTTTTCTTTAATCTTGATGCTTTTTGTGGTGTGTTGCGCTCGGTTAACATATTGATGTGTGAAATAGCAATGCTTCACAAAACTGCCGAAGTAAGACACAAGTTTCAGGGGGAAAGAAGTCTGGTGAAATGAGGAATTCCCTCGCTGCACATTGACAGCTACAACAGCTGGCTGGTCCAGTCCTCCAGCTATGGCCTTGTTTGCAGGCACCTCGGCAACAGTTGCTGCAAATGGGAGGGGATGTCTCAGGCGCACACCCACTCAAATGTTCCGAGTGAGTTCAGGGATTTGAACCCGTGACCTTTTCTTTCCAATTTTAAAGGCCGATCCAACTTTTGGATTAATTTGATTGAGATATACATAACATTATAGAAAATGATAGATCTCTCTTTATGAGTGTGTCATGTTTGGATTGTGTGGCTGTGTTACAGTATGTTATACCTGTCCCAAAGCTCTCCTCCCCACAGAGGGAACAACGCCCAGAATCCATCAGGTTTCCGAAGTACCTCCAGCCCGTGGGAGTCTCATACAGTGCCAGTTTCATGGCTTTCGCCACCCTACAAACATATAGAGTAGAAACAAATCAAAGCTTGTACTTCTACACACAAGCACACAATACATTTATTTCTCTCTAATATCTAACATCAGACTATTACCAGCTCCGATAAAGAGACGAGCTTACACACAAATCCTCTGACCTTTAAATGAAGCAAAGCAAATGTTGCATGACAGGCCTAATCTGCCAGATGTTCATCCAATAACTTAAAAAGGCAAAAGAAAAAGGCTGTAGGAACACAGTGAGCAAGCCTTTCAGTTAATGTTTGGAGGTGAGTCATGTGATCACATAAGAAGAAAAGGACAGGAAGTGTGTATGTGTGTGCATGTACAGCATGTGCATATATATTTGTCATAGGGTCCAAGGGAGGGATAAAGATGCAAATGTTTGCAGTGAGGAACACAGAAACACTGATAAAAACCTGATCTGTTTCGATAAATTAAAGAACGGCAACTGCTTGATCCAGTTGCATTATAGAGGCATTATTTATGTCTTCACGCCAAGCTCTACTGAGCATTTCAACAACTTCTTGTTTTATGGCCAACAACTGTTTTTCTGCCCTCTCTCTTCACATTAACGGCATAGTTTCCAGAAACAGCAAGCAGCTGTTCTCAGCAGAAAAAGACGGGGAGAAAAAAGCTAAATATTTTATGCTAAATGTTCAAACAAGCTGACAAAGGCCTTGGCTTAACTGGTAGACACTAGTGAAGAAGCATGGGAATTTACCCCATGAGCACAAAAGGCTTGTAAGAGCATTTATATTAAACAAAACAACATAAAGAACAAAAGAAAACTACATAAAACAAAACACAATGCCTGTGGGCTTATAATTACAATATTGTCTAACATTATTCAAGAATGCTTAGCTCTGGTTCCAGAAAGAGCAAAACGGAGGTGGAAATATTAAAAAGACAAAGAAAGATATGTTAACAAACATTCAGGTGAAATAGACTGAACTACCAGGAATGGTTGGTCAACCAATCTCTTGTGTCCTTTTGTAAGAGCCAAAATCAATCCCTTAGGCATTCCAGCATCTTGAACAGCTCCAGCAGCCTAACAACCTAACAAAGCTCTTGGAAGCAGCAGTTGTGGGCTGCATCCAAAATATCTGCTTTATCAGTGGAAGCATTAGCAGTTTAATACTACTTTATAATATGAGATATGCAGCTAAAAAGAAAAGACATCTGCTCACAGACATGTTTAGCATGCAGTGGAGCGTTCCTTCAGTTTATGAACAGATAAACGTAATTCACAGCTCCTCAGTGATCTCCACAAAATGCACGCACACTTCCCTTGGCAAAAATATTCAAACCAACACAACACGTTCCATGCAAACGTGTCAAACTTTGGCATAAAAACTTTACACAGTATGGCACGTATAAATGTTGGTGGTTTTCAGGGGCTTAAAGGGGCGGGATGCACATCTAGATTATCACCCTTCACATAAATAAACCCCCCAGTGCCTGGTGCAGTTGTTTATAAGAGGATGGGATAAATGACCAAATATGAGTAAACCAGCATTATCCCCCTCTGGGGATGCCAGCACTGGAACGGGAAGTCTGGCATTCCTAAAAAACAGAACAATCTCTTACTCTCTGATGTTTGTAATGGCACGTCCACAACCAACATAATAAGCAACAAATTTGACCATGGCACCAGTTGTCAGTGTGAGAATTGTGTTTTCTCAAGTCTGATAGTCGTTTAACTTGAACTGAACAACTTGTGCAATGACAGTTACAAATTAAATATATCCTGATTTCATTTCTGCTATATTGGTGTTTGACCTGGCTTTGGCCTGCACTTTTTTTCCTATCAAAATATTGTTGTGTAATACACAATGTGACCATAATTACAGCAGTCCACAGCTTCTCTTGGTGGATTTTTCTGAGGTTCTTTTCTTTTTTTAAAACAAATGTTGGCCCCAGGGATGGAAACACAAGTCCCAACAAACTGGACGGACATACTGAGCTCAAAAAGAGTGTGCGTTTAAAATCCTGGTACTTCTTCCTTGCAATACTGTACAATAATTAATCAATTCAGTTGACAGATTTGCATAGATTCTGATCCATCATGCAATGTTACCATACATGAGTCCAGTCTGTCCCTATTCCACTATGAAAATGAACCCAAACAGGGTCAAATTCAATAAAAAACCTCAAATTTTTTCTCCAGTTTTTTTAATCAAAACCATTTGTTAAAGAACAACATCAAAATGTTCCTCTTTATTATGTAGATCTAATCAGTTGTTAGTCTCGGAACTCGCAGTTCAGCCCTCTCCTCTCTCTACATCCTCCCATTCCTTGAACTGTGAATGGAGAGACAGATGTTTCCTTTACCAAAATTTGCCAACTGGCTTTCCCTTCCGCCCATGTTGCATCAGCTCTAGCACTGTATTTGCACAGTTAGATGTGGGTAATCATGAACACAACATCCTATGTCCTCCCCAGAATGATAGATTAACCACGAAAAAACTCAAGCCTCCTATCCAAATGATCAAGTTCAAGCCCTGCGGGGCAAAATATCCTCTGAGCACAAATACACAGTCTCTGAAATGCACCATCACATTTATCATGCCTTTGATAACGCAGAGCTTGATGATTCCTAAACAGACAGCGGGGAGGGCTGCTAGAACCGTCAGGCCCACACTGTCCAAAAAAGGCTCACACTTGGTCCAAGTCCAGCGTTCAGTATCTCACCATTAAGAACCTTAACAATTGATGGAGTCTGTCAAACAAATGCAGACACATCCATGCGGGTCACGTTAGGATATCAAGTGGTAGTTGTGTAGCTAAGAGCTTGACAAATTGAGAATGTCCTGTAACAATGTGTCATTATCAGTGAGTGATTACAGAAGAGGAGGGACGGTTGATGTACTGAGCTTTGTGCAAGACTCAAAATCCTTTAAACTATTTTGGTGAAATTGGGTTTAAAAGGAAAACAAGGATTATCATATTAGACGCAGACTATGTCTGACAAAGTAGTTGTGATGACTCCAAGCATGACATTAAGTGTGATTTAAGATTCATCTGCAAGAAAGAAGTCACTTGTAATTCTATTCCAACTTCTTGGCAGATTGCACAAGTTACAGTTTACAGGAAATTATTTATGCTTCCATCAGTACAAACTGGGTAAACACTGATGTAATAAACAACTATGACGGAAATGTTTTTTTTGGGTGTCTTTTGACAAGAGAAAGTGCTTTATTAAAGTGTGTGCGCTAGATGAGGGCTCAATGGCTCTAGTCTGAAGCTGAATATGTAATCTGTAATTCTCTGCCAGCATATTTGAGATGAAATGAGGTGGTGCCGACATGGGAATCAATTAAAGCAAGCAGTACTTTTAGAATGATCCCTGCAGTTACACATCACAAGACGCAGCCTTAGGCAAGGACCGGTGCAACACTGCCCAAAAGCGATGCAGTGCGTGACCCTGTGTGCGCTTCCATATGTAGGAAGCTCATAATTCTGTGAGGCAACATGCCACTTCACATTAGCAGTGAGGTCATTTCCCTCACGTCTCCCACCACTAACACGTAGCAGAGCAGAAGGCATGCTCACAGAAAGAACTTCAGCAGTACACACAAAACATACATACATATACAGATATAATTTATAGATGTCTTCACCCTCCAGAGATTTTACTCTGCAGGTGTTGGTCTGTTGATTGTGTGTGTGTGTGTGTGTGTGTCTGTTTGTTGTACCTGTCGAGGGCAGTGCTGGTGGCCATACTCCTGGCAAACCCTCTGACTCCATGCTGCTTGAAATAGGGGATGGTGGAGAGGTTGGCAGCCATGATGGCCACTGAATCCGACGGGTTCACAAAGAAGCCGTTTTCTCCAAGGATCATGTATCGGTCCTAACGTCAAAAGATTATTCAGGATACTGTAAGTGTCATATTGGCAGTCATTTTGAAGGGGAGAGGTGATTTTCTTATACTTGATTTATGTCTGGAAACCGTTGCTAACAATGTAAAGCTCTGCACTCTGGTACTACTAGCCACTGTAGTTTATTTAGAGCCAATCCTGAAAAGGCCATCTGGCCTCCGTAAATACTCACTAACTCACCTAGTGTGTATGGATTCACAACTAAAGACATTCCTTCTATCAGTGGGCCATGAAAAGGGTGACAGTTTCAGCTATGAATGACAGCACGCTTTGGGAAACGTTTACACACAACAATAAGTGAGGCAGATGAGAGTTTCTGTAGATACAGCACAAATGAAACCTAAAAAAAAAAACATCTACTTTGTCAGATTTTCTGAACATGATCACCATCGGTGACATAAATCCAAGTGGGAGAAATTGAGCACATGTGATGTAAACCCTTAACACAATTATTAAGCTAATATACTTCCTGTGGGTGTGTGGGAGAGCGTGTAAATCGTAGAAATGTCTATTTAATGACTTTGTGGAAAAAGTGAGTTGCATATTAGATCATCATTGACACACCACTCCTTGGCCCACAATGCCTTTCCTGTCACCAGCATGAAAACAAAAGCAAATTTGAAAAATCCTGTTGGATCCCCAAGTGGAGTATTGCTATACTATTTTTCCTACAAAAATGTAAATAATTTAATGACAATGATTTAATAATTTAATGACTTTTGTATACATCTTCAATCTGTATCAACTATATTTATAGATAAAGGATGAACTATATAAAACCAAGCTCTAAACTCACCTTCTTTCAGTTTTATATGTCCTGAGAAATCTTCTTAATTTGATTTATCTTTTGGTGTAGCACACATTTATTGGCAATACACTGCTTGATTTCAGAGAAGGAAATTTTGAATAAACTATTTATTGTTGACCTCCAAGCATCTATCTTAATGCTGGTTATTTCTACAATGTTTTTGTTTAAATGAACTGTAACGTCACATCAATGTAAATACTGTGTGCCCAAATCTGCTTCACATCCTTCCGAATCTCAGACATATCGATCATAGTAAAGTGATTTGCTTCAACTGCTTTACGGCAGGAGATGGTGCGAGAAAACCAAATCAGAGCGCTTACCCCGTCTGCATCAAACGCAGCTCCAAAGCCAAATTCGCCTCCTTTCATTGCATCCACCAAAGAGGTGGCATAGACCAAGTTGGGCTCTGGGGGCCGTCCACCAAAGTCCTCCAGAGGGACACAGTTTACTGCAGAGTTAGCGGGAGCTCCCAACTCATCGCACAGGATCCTGCGCACATAGGGGCCCATCACTGTGACGCGACAATAGGGGTGGAGAAGGGAGACATTTACAGAATTGTCTTGATTCATAGGGACAGAGGCTTTGAGGTTATTTGAGTGGAAGCTGACATCACCTCCATTCATGGCATCTACGTGTATCTTCAGCTGATTTGGTCCTGTCAGGAGACTTTTAATGGCGGAGAAGTCGAATATGTTTCTCAACAGCTGTAGATACACTTCAACTGAGTCCACGATCTCCACTGGAAACACAGGAGACACCGTATTTCACTCTAAAGCCAGAATGCTGCGTAAAGGTTTCCGCCCAGTGAGTATGACTGATTTACCTCTGAAAGGTTTGAATTTGTTTTCAAGATCAAACTCTTGTCTTCCCAGCCTTGACAGGTCAATGTGCAGATCAGGGCAGATGGCGTACTCCTCCAGAGTCCGGCTCACCTGATGGATCCTCTCCATCACTGTATCTGGAGATGGGCCTGTAAGACAAAGAAAACATTATAGAAGTTCAACCCAAACTAGCATTTTTTCAAATGACTTTTGACCAAAAACTCATCTCAATTTCTTTGGTTTTTAAATGGGTGGCAGCTGGAAGAATAAGGAAAACAAATCATAGTCCTCGCCTCCATTTGCCACATTAAACTTGATTCCAAAGTCTCCACTGGGGCCTCCTGGGTTGTGACTTGCAGTGAGGATGATCCCACCAATCGCCTTGATCTTCCTGATGATGCAGGAAACAGCGGGAGTGGAAAGCAGGCCGTTGTGACCGATTACCAGACGGCCAATCTGCGGAGCACAGATTTCACAAAATAAACCAAAACTACTCTCCTCTTTTATTTTATTTCACCTTGATTTCAAAAAGAAAAAAGATCCAACAATAGGCCCAACAAATCAGAGCGCCCCTGTCCTACGACATCTCTAAATTCAACAGGTGACCAATGGACTGCCTGCTTTAAAAAGCAAATGATCTTCCCCAAGGGGGTCCCTATAAACAGAGCTGGACTATCTATTTATACACTGTATGCTACTTATGTGGCCTAGTGGTAGCAGCACGTAATAACTCCCACACGTATATCAGCCACTCCAAATAAAAGTGTCTTCACCAGAGAGGAATGCATCCTTCTAAAATCGAGGATGATGAGTTTGTGTACGAAGGACTGTTTAAGGAGGTGGGAGATGCAATTTGATGTTTCCCAATTCCGACTGGGAATTGATGGGAGGGGGGGTTGTGTGAACGTGTTACTGCTTTCCTTTTGGTTCTTTGCCACACACCATGACATGGGGAACCCCGCGTACGGTTTGGCCCTGGAGAGGAGTAGCAGTGCTGTGGGTGGAGCGGGGGGGGGGGGGAAACGTAGGCAGGAAAAATAGCACAGGATGGATGGGAGTGCTGATAAGGCTGACACCCGGAGACATTTGGCCGGGGCCAGCACAAAAGCGCGCTGATCTCAAAGGCAAAATGATCTTGTCTTCAGTTTTTCCCTTTGGAGTCTTTCCAAGCCGGCCACCACATTCACACTGCAAAGCATTTTCAGAGAGATGTGGGGAGTTTCCTCTCCATCTTCCTGATTTCACTCATCTGACATTTCCAGTTCACAAGTTTTGTTTGTTAATATCTCAGAGTGGGACCACTGAAAACACAAAGAAGCAAACTATATTGCCAAGAGGTGAACGTTTTTAGTTGACAATGTTTATGTCTTGTGATAGTCTTAGCATTTCTGGTAAGGTGTAGACTGACTTTCTGCATATATATATAATCAGCTATAGACAGCTATAAACTGTCTATGAACAGTGTTTTATTTGGACCTGTTGGCACAGAATGATAAAACAACGCATATGAATATAGTCTAATGATTCCTAAAGATCGAAATGGATTCCTGTTGGAAGTTCTCCGTATCTTAATAGAGAGGAACAGATGGCTGACAGTCTTGAAGGCTCACTCTTTTCTTTCTTACCCCGTTTGCAGCTGCCATCTGCACTATAACCTCGATGGCCGATCGGCTGAAGAAGCGTCCGTCGCTGCCCACCACCATGGTGCAGCCCTGTCGGTCCCTCAGGTCGATGGAGGACAGCACGCTCTGGATGTAGTTCTGCAGGTAGTTTTTCTTGCCCTCGAACACCGCCGTCTTCCTCCGCAGCCCGTTGGTGCCGGGCCGCTGGTCCTCAAACGGGGCAGTTTGGACTGTCACCACCGGGATGGGGCTGGTCTCCATCCTCCACTTCTTAATGGGAGCCCAGAGAGGGGGGGGGGGGGGGGTGACTGGATGTATTCACAAAGTAATAATAAAGTTGAAATAATGAATGATGCCCACCTGTATGTAGAGCGAAAGTCTACTGCTCCCAGCCGAGGAATAGAGCTGTGAGAAAAAACTGTCCCACACAGGGATGATCCGGCTGTAGAAGGAAGCCAGGCAAAAAAAAGTTTTTTTTTTCACTCCACCGACATCAGCCAAGGGAGCAACATCCCCAAGCAATGCCTTACCGAGGAAACACTGAGCCAAACACTCGCAAATACAACCCCTCTGCTCTTAGACGACTCCCTCTTTTCCTAATAAGCATGGACAACTGACTGTGAGATAGAAAGGGAGGGTTTGAATAGAGTCAGAGCCCACAATCAGCTGAGCCTCAAGCCAAAAATAGACATGTGACTGACGGGAGAGGGGGGAATTGTGTAGGGACCGGTGTGCAACTGGACACTGTGGTGTCCACACACGGCCCAGCGAGGAAATACCACACACCATGGAGTCGTTCTATGAGTTGATGGTTTATAACAAAAGACACAGTATCAATATTCTTCGTTGCCTCTTTGTTTTCCACGTCTGTTTCAGTGTTGTTGTCTGGTGACTCAGTTTTATGACAGAATGTAAGTTCCACAAAGTTTACAAATCCAAGGGGGGGGGGGGTAGAGACACTGCAGTCACTGGCAGACAGGACAAGAACATCTTCACTGGTATTCTTCTGTTCTGTCTCAATACTTTGCGAACAGCATCACCCCGAGGAGGGATGGAGGAAGTGCCTCCATTCAGGCTGGAGAAAAAAAAGACTGATGCAGATTTAGACCCTATGTCAACTTCAAAATTATGCTGGAAACACACACATTAATATGTCTTATAAGTGACTGCCAGGGGAAAAATCTTTATAAATTTGGTTATATTCTTTATTTTTTCATTCATGTATTTTTATTTTTATCTTGTATTAGTATGCTATTCAAGTGCCAGTTTTTTGGGGACCATTTGTGTTGGTTTGAAATGCTTTATTCTACGTGTTGCATTGATAATTACAGCTGTCACAGCCATCAGCAACGTTTTCTTGTTTTTTTGAGCATTAAAAATACACTTATTCAACACTTAACACACTTTTTAATTGACCTAACCACTTAAAAATGTAACCCCATTTTGGAGTCATCACACAAATAGTCAAACAAGTTTTCAGACATTTATTATAGCACTTTATTTTAAAAAAACAAAAAACAAAATAAAAATGGAATCGACTGAGGTTTTCAGTTGCCTCGACAGTCACAAATATATTACGACTCATCTTATTTACACGCCGTCCTCTTAATAGACATTTATCAATGTCAGTGCATACAAATATCATGCAGTTTGAATATTTCTTTAAGAAATTAACCACAACATCCAACTGTGAAGTTTCCCGGAGGCCTCAGCAGCGAGGATAAGAGAGTCTGAGATGCTGGTTTGTTGAGGGGATGTTGCCCAGCATGGGAGGGGGGCAGAAAGAAGTCCTGAGCGGCTGCAGGATTGTGGGCACCAAACAGGCGGTTGGGCTTGACACTAGATGAGCATATTCCTGGCCGCTGTGAGGGCTGTGCGCCGGGTTTGGGTTCTGTTGCTTGACAGGACACGGTCTGCTCATGATACTGTCAATGCTGAAAGAGCACTTTGCGGGCATTCCAGGCTTTGGCTCTCTTGCGCACGCCTGAGCCCTGAAGTCTTTGTGCCCACCGCCCTTTCCGTAACCGGTTAAAGCGTGCGGCAGAAGCTGGTAGGACGTGGGAGGCATCAACATGCCCTCCTGCATTGGCACGTACCGGAGAGGGGCAGCGGGAGCGGGGCTTACCTGGCCTTGCATGCTGTACGGTTGCGCGTACGGCCGGCAGCAACTTAAGCTGGAATAAAACAGAAGTCCTTCTTTGCCAAACTCGGGCTGGTTCCTCTTGAAGCGCTTCCTTCGGCGGAGGAAGCTGCCGTTGTCGAACATATCCTCCGACGCGGGATCCAGTGACCAGTAGTTCCCCTTGCCCGGGTTTCCGGGCTCTCTCGGGATCTTGATGAAGCAGTCGTTAAGCGAGAGGTTGTGTCGGATGGAGTTCTGCCAGGCGGGGAACTTCTCTCTGTAGTAGGGGAACTTGTTGCTGATGAAGTCGCAGATGCCGCTCAGCGTCAGCTTCTTCAGCGGGCTTTGCAGGATGGCCATGGTGATGAGAGCAATGTAGGAGAAGGGCGGCTTTACCGTGGTGTTCTTAACTTTGGGCTGCGGCGTGTTGGCACAAAAGCTGCTCTCGTTTTCTCCCGATGAATCTGGCTCCGATGAGTCAAACTCTGAAGAGGATTCTGTTGGGGATCCGGGGTCCACTGAGCACTCATTCCGAAACAAACGCCGGTGGACAGGCTCGATTTCGCCCACTATGTCTATTTCATCCTCTTCTAAAGGCAATCCAGTGTACAGGGACACTTCGAATTCACTGGAAAGATTCATAATAACACGCACAATATTAAAAAAAAAAACGCAGCTGTGTAAACGAGGCCTTAGTTCGCCGTGCGTAAAAAACCAGCGGCCACCCTGCGTAAAAGCGCATGTGGTGCCCGGTTGTTCTGAAAACTAACTGTTTACTGTGGTGTGCGCTAAGACTTTATATCTTAGGAGGCTGCTGTGGTGCAGGCCAGCCCCGTTAACCCTCAACCTATCAGAGTTCCCCCAACAGCAGGGTGCCAAATCAAGGTGGGGTGGGTCTTGCGTTTTTTTCATGATATGCGTAAAAGTTTTTTTCATCCTACAATTGGTCAGTAGTATTTTATTTATTTGGTTAAATCACTTATTTTGAACTGTATTAAAAACTGCACCAAATAAAAGAGTATGGAGATCCTTTTTTTAATAGAAATGTCTGCAAAATAGAGCAGCTGCTTAGTCAGAGGTGTGAAGTTCAGAGGAAATTATCGCACCACGCCTAACCTGCGATAAGAAGCCAAGCTTTCCCTTTGGCATCCCCCAAGGGTTCGTTTAGTTTGTCACCTCTGAATACCCGCAGGTGGTGTGAACATGAAAATGGCCACGGCAAGGCTTCCCGCAGCCAACAGAGAAAGGAGGCAATAGTCGCCTTAACGAGGCCATCAGCATCAGAATTCAGAAGGAAACAGCTCAGCTGCGTGATGCGCTGTGTGCTTTAGGCTCAGCCCTGGCTTTACGGCCGCCATGAATAAGCAGAGCCATCCTCAAAGCAAACTGGTCCAACGGCAGAAAAAAGAAAAAATACTGCGCTAAAACCGTGACGTTATACCATCTCCATTGCAAATAATCCAACTGGGACAACTCCACCTATTTCCTCACCTGAGAAGGCCTACTGTGTGCGCGGTGGGATGGTTCTCACATGACCGCACAAACAAAGACTTAAAGAAGTGGCAACTATTTTTTTTTCTTAAGCCGTACCAGCAGCAGGAGCTGGAAACAGCACCACAAAACCGTCAAAAGTAATGACAACAATGTAAGCCTGAATTGTTATCCTCTAAACTGCAGGACAACACATCACACAGTTTTCTTTGACGAGAAAAAAAAGCTTTGGAAATAGTAAGGTAGTCTATTTTTAAGGGAAAACTCTAAAAACACCACATATCCACTTGTGAAACACCTTCTGTTCAAATCACAGTCTGTTCATTGGACACAGAACTTGTATGGGTTTCATAATGAAAGCTGAGATGTTAATTCCTCTCACCCTTATGTGACCTTACCAGTTTGGCACAATGGCTCTTTGTCCCTGTTATGTTAATGGATTAAGACCGTCAGCAAGGAAAAAGGCAAGTATACAAATAATTAATAATTTCACTGTCCAAAAGGAACTTTATTCATAATAACTTAGAATCAAAAGCTTGATAAGTGTCAGACATGAACAGGATTACTACAGGCCCACCCTAAAATACGGTTACATTGTGTGCATCACTACTTTGACTTCTAAGACACAACAGTTGCCGTGTTTGTTGACCGATCGTTCTACAAACTGAATGCTATGTGTTGGTAAGATTTCACAGCCTTTGCACCATTTTTGTGTGGGCAGACATTAATGTTTTTAATGAAGGGGTCAGATTTAAATGCTTTATCTCAACTTGATCCACCATATCAACAACAAAGTAAACGTTGTCAGACGTGCCCCACGGTCATAGGGAAAAAGGAAAAAAAACAAGGTCTGACTGACTTTGTCAGCCTAAAGGAGGGCCAGAGCTACACTTTTCTCTGAAGAGGAGAATGTGGAGAGGAGAGAAGGGGTCCTATTTTTTTTCTGTGTCCAACACAACAGTAGAAGTGAAATGCTCCAGTAGGATTCCCTTGTCCAGGTTCCTCCCTGTAAATCAGATAGGAGAATTAGAAAATCAGTACATGTGGGGGAAGATCCAGAGTTTGTCTCTAAACTGATAAATGAAATCATTCCATTGGCTGGTTTACATTTAGAGGAATGGTTGAAAGATATCTGTTTTTGTTTCATTATGTGGATCTTATTTTTATAGTCCATGACCTGCTGAAGACAGCTGGTCTATTTTGGAACAAAAGTGTGGACTTAATGAGGCAAAACATCATTTCAGGGGTTCTGGTTAGGGTTAGGACCAAGGTGTGAATTTAAGTTCAGACTTAGGGTCAGAGCTCGAGTCGGGCTGTATAATGAAAAACAATGAAATACGATGCAATGTTGTTGTTAGGATAGCTGTGCCGCTTTTGTGTGAGTGTCTGTGCACGCGCACCTATAAAAACCAGCCTGTTGATCCGTGCGTTCTGCTCCCAAAGCTGTGGAGTCTCATTCAGCTCGTACAGCTCGTGGACCCCCTGCAGCATCACTTGGTGGTCTTTACTGGCAAATGAAACTATCCCCTTTAAACACACGTCACAAGTGACACATTAACCACCATCAAATTAGGCCTTTAACTGATGACTTCATAAGAAAGCAGTCAGGTGGGAGCCCTTTGTGCCCCGCTTTACCTTTAACCGGATGACAGTCATGGGTTCTCCCTGTTGGTTACAGAACTTCTTTTCCCAAAGCAGATCCTAAGACAGTGGAAAACATGTGTTTTCTTTTCAAAGGCTCTTACCATAATGGAGCTAATTAGTTATGGCTACAGGGACCTGAAAGAGTGTCTTTACTTGGATGAAGGCGTTCAAGGCATCCTCAGAGAGATCACCAGTCACCTCAAAGGTCACAGTTAGAATGCTCTGTAACAGACAAGCAAAATACAACAAACCACCTTTAATAAACACCAATTATTCAACAAAAATAAGAAAAACAAAGTCTTGGAGCTTTTATTACGTCAATTCTGAATCGTTTTTATCAATTAAATGCAGAACTGTAAGAGTATTATGTCTATAAAAAAGCATCTTGACACTTTACCATTGCTTTTAGAACACATTTTCACACTGACTTCAGTTTAAAGATACTAACAACCCTGATTACAGCAGCTGGACAAAGGAAGCACTTTTCATGCCCTGGCTGAGGATTTTGTCGATGAACGTGACAGAAAACACAGCTCCGAGCCCCAACTCAAACCCTCTGTCTTTATGTCTCTGTCACACATGCGTTCCCTTCTCTCAGTGCTTCCTCACAACGTTAAAAGGGCACTTTGCAGATATTTGGGGGCTTTGTGTGGAAGTGTTAGGGCTACACACTTCCTTGTCATTTGGTATAACAACAGAAAAACAGCATTCTCATTTACATGAAAAGAGTGAGATGAGGGTGGGGGCAAAGCGCGTCTGTGTGTGTGTGTGGTGGTGGGTCTGAGGGACAGTAGACCTTCATGCGGGAAAAAACCAGAGAGAAAACAGACAACAATGCTGTTATTTACCCACACAAATAACCCTCATCTCTCCTCATCCTGTGATAAAAGTTCACAGGTACAAAGAACGGCTGAAATCTACATAAGGACTAATAACTACAGGGGGCCCGCTGATCTGATACTTTGATTAAACAATTAGATGGTTTAAAGCTTATCCAGGAATAAACTGTTTCACCAACCAATGCAAAATAACAAAAAAGAAACAGGATAACTTGGGAATGAGTTGATAATTTACTCCGAAATCTTTTTAAAGATGGGTTCAGATTCGACTGGAACTACTGAAAAATCCAAATATGGAGCCAAGACTCAGACCACTCCGGCCAACACCCAGTCTGCATCGAGCCAAAAATCCTACCAGGTTTTAGATGGATATGACCCAGATTGGTTGTATCTGTAAAACATCAAAAGCTTCAAGTTGATCTCAAGACAAAAAAGCAAAGCAGGGTGGGATTTTCACTCCAGTGTCGCAGCCTGGGGGAATGCGAGGCGCAGTTTTAGCCTGAGGAGAATGCATGTCCCCTAATCCTGCAGGAAACGACGTGTTGAAATAAATTAGCAAACAAAATAAGAAAACCTCATCGAGGCGCAAAGGCTCCATTCGGTTCAGGGCATGCATACCTTGTCAAGATGCGGCCGCGTGGATTTTACAAGCTGCAGCTTCTCGGCCAACCTTCCAGGAGAGAAAAGCCATGAGTTCAAATTTGCCTCGCAAAGACAAATTACTACTATGAAGTTTACAAACATTATATGATTCGAGTATAACTTTTTACACAGACCTGGCTGTTTCTATTATTTCTTTTTAGTCAATCTTCATGTTTACATGAGTTCAGAAAAAACATATTCTCTAGTTAGTCATCTAGAACTGGACTTTGCACGGTCACACTTAGGCCCACATGAATTTGTACAAAACTGAACTTCTCCATTCAACTAACCTAAAGACAACCTCTCACACAATCAGACCTTGTAAGCATGGCTGCTGGCCATGATGCTGCTGACTGAAAAGCTGATTGTACAAGGCAACCAATGTGACAAGTCACAAGTCAAAAGGTTTGGGAGTTATCAGCCACACTGCTGCTTCAAGGCAGGACTGCCGCACCTCGTTGTTCCGTCTGAGAGGTATGGCCGGTCAAACCTGAGACGGCCACAGGACACAGATGTACACACAAGGGGGGGCCCGCACAGCAGAACGGGCCAGTGCGGCTGTCCCATCTCTGATTCAGCAACAAAGGCACGCTGTCTGAGAGCACGGAGGCGTTCCGCACGACCCCTCCTCGGCTTGGTCACACCAACGGGCAAAGACGGGCCTCAAAACAGGGCCGCTCGCTCTGCACTGTTATGGTACCGCCACAATGAAACACAACTGTGAACAATGGCAAAGGCAACGGAGCGGGGCAGTCTTTTTTTTTTTTTACGTTACTGCAGAGGGATTTTTGTCTGAACAAGGCCATCCCTGCACCAGCTGTCACCAATCCACCTACTGTTCCAATTTAAGGCTATTTCTTGTTAAGCTAAGTGTTTTTGTTTTTTATTACAAGTGAGGTTTTACTGGTGAGATACCCGTGAAGCGACATAAAACTTTAGTTATTTAATGACTTAACGCCACTTCTTTCTTTTGTGCGGAAGAACAGAGGCGTCTTTTCTTTGTGTTTGATCTTATAGTTGTGTCAGTGCTTAATGACACAATACTAAATAGACTTGCAAAGGCTTTAGAAATGGCAATTAAATCCTACAGGACACCCGCAACCACCTCCGAACAAACTATTACCTCCAGTTCCCCCCACTACTCCCTGACCTCACAAGGAGGCTAAATGTTGTGTCCAGCTGCTTGAGTCCTGCTTGCTGTTAGTGCCACACAGGCAGAGCAGCGGGGGGCCACTTCAAACAGCCAGCATGGGACTCTGGGGAGCAAGGGGCCGAGACTCCGAGGCAGGGCGAAAGAAACTATCTGTTGGGACAAGAGGAACTCCTCGGGAGCCTGTGGACACACACAGCTCTAATCCTCCGCAGCTGGGCAAGAGACACTGATTCAGGGCATGTAAGAGAGCTTTAACATGCCGACCGCTTCATTCAAAAGAAGGGATGAACACAGATTCTATTCATGAGAATGACATTCCGTAGGGAATACAATATGATGACCGTCCTGTGGTGTAACAGGGCGACGCTCAATAAAGGAGCCTTAATTAGGGAGAAACATGGCGGCGGCATCAAAGGCCGCCGGGCACACTGCTCTGACAAAGTGGAGACAAAAGCTGAATCAGGTTTTCATCATTTACTGTGGGCTTTACATGGAAGATTATTAGTGATCGCGCGGCAGAGGCCAAGCGATAACGGGTAAAAATTAGAAGGAATAAGCGGCGTGTCTAAAAATAGGTGTTGAACACATTTCGGTTTCAGCTGGGAAATGTTGATTTAAAGTTGGCTCCCGTCACAAATTTAGGACGTCAGCAGCAAAATTCGGAAATCACGAGACTCAGTATAAGAAAAAATGATTACCTTTTTGTACAATCATTTGAATAATTTGAAAAGAAATGTAATGTACCATTAGTCCCAGTTTCAAAACTCCAATTTGGGCCCTATTTTCAATTTTTTTGTAACACTGTCGACTTTGTAAGCCACTTTGGATGAAAGCATCTGCTAAATGCATAAACACATAAACACAAAGTCAGTTTTTAGAAACAAAACGACAGCGTGACAGTAAATGGAGAGCCACGGTTGTTGCACTGCTGTCTGTGTACTTTTTGATATACACTTGTGACTTGTAAACGCTTAGTTTTATGACTTATATCCCATTTAAATGTTTTTGATACCCAAAACAGGAAAACCTCAGCTCACCTTGCTCCATCGTGACTGTCGAAGGAATGCAGATCCAGCACTTCAGAGAGATCCACCCTGTCAGAGGATTTATTTCACTGTTCAAGTCTCGTATCAAATTCCACCATCTCACAGTGGACAGCACTGTATGCAAGCAAGCATTTATCCCAAACCGGCGTTAAAGGTAACACAATGATCTGACTCTGGTTTAAATGTTTTCGCAATGTTTTTTCAATTAACCCCTCGCTGCACAGTCTTTCATCTGCTAACCCAGGTCTGAACTCTGTGGGAGGCCGAAGCAGAGCCCCGACACGGCCCGAGCTTTCATTCATGCTGTTTTGTGTTTGACCCCAATAACACACAACACCGTAAACCACGCTGTGCAAGTGCACACATCCTTGGAGGCACGCAAAATCACACACATAGAAACTTTTCAGCCTGAAGTCCTGAGGTCATAAAGCAAAGGCTTGGCGGTAACCGGACACCGGTGCAGGTTTGATGTTTACTCTGAGCGCTGCATGTTGCGTTTGCTTATGTGCACGTCTGAGGCAGCGTCTGAACCACTCCATCTTTGATACCAAGATCTGAGCGGAGGATACTCCGAACTCAGCAGGAACCTGGGCCACAGGGAGCTACTTAACTTTATCCCCCAAAATTACCTCTTGTTTGTTTGGGGAAAAAAAAAAGGGACTTACGTTGATCTCTGGGTTTCCAGAATCTTGACGAGACCGTTTATAGACCTGATATCAATGAAAAAAAAAAACAGGGTTACAGCAGATTACAAACTAGTCCTCCCAAAAGATGGATAAGAAGGTGAACGGTAATGGTAATTATGTTAGGCTGACCTGACAGTGTCTCTGACTTGGTTTAACTCCTCCTCATTCACCAGGTCGGTCTTGTTGATAATTGTCAAATCAGCGAGAGCAATCTGCCTGTGAACATTTCAAATAAAACATAATACGAATAAGTGCTTCCAGGTCTGTTTTAGGACTCAGACACTGGACTGAGCGCTTAACTTGAATCAGGAAAACACCCATTCCTGTTTCCAGGTTTACTAAAATGTGTGAGTGATGTGTTCTTGGGGGAGGGGGTTTGGGATGGGGTGTGGGGTGCTCTGGCATGGGGGCTGTTGTAGCTGCATCACTGGGGAGCTGCTGACCATTAGTCTTGTCCAGGGTCTTCCTCTGCGGTCGTCTGTGTGAGAATTATGCTTCATTCCATGTGGGGCCCCTGGTTATGCAGGTGTTGCCCCCCCCTTTAAAGACCTATCTGTGTATTTTGCATATTCACTCACATGCTTATGATACAACTGCTGAGTCACCCTGTGGTTTTAATCAGCTACATCCACAGTTATTCTATCACACACTTGCTGCTCATGTAGTTGCTGCTGTTGGTGTTTTACTTTGTTTGTCTCCTGGTTGACAGTTCTCCACCTTATTTTCCCACACAGACTGTTTAGTTTCGCCACAGATTTAGCCGTTTGTTCTGCTTTGGTTTCTCAACTGTGGTTGTTGCTGTCTTTGCTATATTCTTTATTTCTTTGCCCCCATCACTCTCCCTTTCCTTTGTTTGGTTTTGCATGTTGGGTTGAGCATTAATAGAAAGTTCAACAATAAACAACTTTAACAAAGTACCTAAAAATCAATAGGAAATTTCTCCCATTTGTAAAGGAAATCGGTTTGGTACAACACAGAGCATGATTCTAAGTATAAATAAATGCATTTAAAAGAAACTGTTAGGAATACAGAAATTTGGCAAATACCAAACTGAAGCAGGGGCTGAGCAATGTTTGGTTTAGAGGTAGAAAGACAAAGAATGCAAAAGGTCAAGCAGCTAGTGTTTGCAGCGTATTTGTTCAGCACCACCACACATCTGCCAGGAGCGACAAACTGGGAGACAGACGGACAAATGAAAAGAACGTCTGCAGCATTTATGGCCCGCGGTGTGGACAACTTTGAAGTATTGAGAAACACTTCCAGTTTTTGGAACCGCGTACATTGTGGCTGTCATTTCAGGGAACAATTAGCCCTATATTAAAGTGGAGGAAAACATGTTCAAAGGTTTCCTACAACCATTCAAAACATTTGATCTAATTTGTGTTAAGAAAAGAAGAAAAGAAAACATCTTTACCTGGCTGCCTCGTTAACCAGTCCCTCTGCTTTTTCTTCTGATAGTTGCTATGGAAAGTTGGGACAATAGACAACAATGAAACTACAAGAGCAGTATTGCATTTCCTTATGCAAGCATGTAATTTGAAAACTTCAAATGTATGCAACAGATGACACAAACTCTGACATAAGTTTTTTTAAGCAAAGCCTGTATTTAAACTTTCTTCAACTTCAAACACGAGAAGCCATTTTATTTGTGTTCTGTGCCCACTCTGGCTAAGCTGCATCTACTATAACCCTTTAACAGGTAATAACAGACAATACAAGAGGTGCGAACCTGGATCCTGACCCCTGGGTGTCAATCAAGTGAAAGAATTCTGTCACCACAGCCTCAAAAGATGTCACAAATAAAACTCACTGGATTGATGAAAACTGATTTCATTCGACATCTTATGCATTAAGAGAAAAAAACGCCTCGGATGATCTGGAACAAATATGTTTTTTGGACAGCAAGGCACTTGAGGGAGGTGGGTTGATGTGACAGTCCCATTACAATGGTCACACCTCTGATATCAATTACTCCATCACCATAATACATCCCCCTCCTCATTCAGCCAGGACTTCCTTAATCTTGCCTCAGCACAGAAGAGCTCAAAGGCCATGAAATGTGTCACCTCACTGAGCATGACACCTTCAAATTAGAAGCCATTATCTAAGTGTCAGTTGTCCTGTTCTTCCAAAGCACCGCATAGAGGGCGGGGAATGTCCGTTCAGGCTGAGAATCACAGTGGTTTTGTTAGTTCGTATAACTAAATCCAGCCAATATGTTTTTACCTGGATGACACTATATCACAATTATGTTCATGTTGACTGATGATTACACTGACTGTAAGATGTCAACCACAATATTCAGAATTTCTAGAATTTAAATACACGAAAATCAAAATCTGCTCAAAAATTGAGTCAAAGAATGCAGGACAACAACATCTGTGTTCTGGTCATTTTATGCAGATCATTTGATCCATTCTGACTTACTGTTTAACTACAAAGTATTTAAAAACTGCATTCAAAAGTTTGAGTACAACATACCTGTTGCCCATACTTGGCATCAATGACAGTGACGATTCCTACAGAAGGATGGATAAATGAGTTTAACAGATCGCAGAGAGTGTCACTATTTGTCCACATTCTTTCCTTTTGGTGTTTGGTTCATCTGTCTGTGCTGCTTTCAGACAGGACTTTTGGTAAAGTTAGTCTGTCACAACAGAGCAGACAGCTGAGTATTCAGAGGGAGGAAAATGGCACTATTTTTTCAAATATGAGGATTCCATACAGCAGAAATAAACATATAAAAGAAATTCACCACTAAAAAAGATGTGAGACCACTTGATCACGTTCAATGTAGTATCTCCTTACACATATTCAACTGTAATGAAGCTTGTACAGATTTAACAATGTCTTTGGAACCCCTATGTAAGAAATTCAACAAAATTATGTTGAGAAAAATCAAAGATAGAATTTTGGACCTGATACACTTGATCGTTTAGAACGACTGAGCAGTGCTAATATTTCAAAGTTAATCTATCCTATGGGAAATAGATTAAAGCCTCTAAAAATGGTAACACGAACAGCGCCATAAAGCTGAAAACACATGAAAGCTCTTACCGTCCAAATAAATGTCACTGCCAAGCTCGGCATCAACCCAGAACATGGAGGCCACAGCTCCTACCGACAGAAGTGGAAATGTTTGAGTTCTTGTGGTTCCAAATTTTGCAAAATAGGGAGCAGCTGTGAGATGAAGGTCAAATTTTCAAGGTTATAAACCTCAGTTTCTACTGTTCTTTGAAAAAGAACAAACCAAAAAAATAATCACTGAAAACAACAAATAATCTCTTTGCTTCTTTTTTCAAATGATCAATAAAGCATTTAGTAAAAAATGTTTTTTGAAAACCTGTTTTGCTTGTGCAAAACCTCAAAACATGAATTCCTTCCTTAATTTATCACCTTGTATTAAGTTTTCACTTGGATGAATATTTGAAGTTTGTATTTCTCCATTTATTTAGGGACAACAGACACAAATTTTTTTCTGACTGCAGCATTGAGAATCAGCTAAAACTAATTTAAGAAGTTTTCAATTGTTTGGCCTCCTTGATGCATTTGCTTTGTTTCCAATTTGCAGTGGACATGGTTATTATAAGGCCCTCTGCTGCCATCCCATTCACAGCTTCTACACATAATGCACTTTAGTCAAACCGTCCAGTGAGAATAACGAAGAACTGCAAATATTTGACGGCCGTGTAATGAAAACACCCTTTTTGACTGACATGTTTCACATTACTTGTCCAACCTTTTCCTGAATGGAAGAAGAGAACCCCCGTGGGGGTTTTGATTGACAGGCTGTCTTGGCTGATAAAAAGCCAATGATGTGGGGGAGAAGTGAGGACAGCCACGGTTTGATAACGCTCCGTTGGCTCTGACGGAGAAACTGAGTGGTGTGTGTGTGTGTCTGTCTCTTTGGGAATCTTTCACTTAACGACACAACACAACTGCCCCACCACTGAAAATCTTACATACAATTCCCGATCCACACCATAGAGAAGGAAGAGATTCCTTTTTGCTGTCCCTGAATCCCTTTCCACCCGAGAGTTTCCCTGTATGAAGCAGCTAACATTCAGAGAGGTTTCACAATCGCTGCTGATGAGGAACATCCCCACAGCGTCAACCTGCAGGTCCTCGAGGACCAGGGTTTGAGACACCAGTGATAAGAGATGTTCATTTTGGGCCCGGAAAAGGAAAGTTCTGTTTTATTCTCATCTGATCAGAGAAACTGATGGTCCTCTTTCAGGGTTACTGTTTGATGTCACCTGTTGGTCAGACTAAGACCTGTTTTTAACTCATGTGACTTCTAATTCTTACAACACTGGTGGCTCCAGAATTTATTCAAGGCCTTCATAGCAAAGAGGGTGAATGTGTTTTCTGTGACTTTAATCATGTGTACCTCATTTAGAAAATATCACAAGTTTTTTTTATTTTAAGACAAAAACATTAATCCTTCAGTTCTGTTCCATCTTAGCTTTGTTGGTTATTATCATTTTACTTTGGTACCACCTACTTTCTGAACAGTGATTATTGTGTGGAGAAAACTCTTGCTCACTTTCTTTTCACTGTAATATGTTAAATTAAACCCCTCATACAGAATACTATGGTTTAAATATCTACCCGCAACTTTACCGAAAGTGTCTAAAACCGATCACACATTCATCTACAGACTACTGTATTTCAGATCTTATCATGCAACATGTATATTACCTGGATCAGCAAGACCTGTTGTTTCTAAAAGAATATAGTCAAACTTTCCTTTCTTCTCCATCAAGTTTTCAATGGCCTTAAGGCCATTGTCCCTAACAAAACAAACAAGCAATCATTAAAAATACAAACACAGAACTGAACACAAAAGCACACAGTAACAGTGAAACACACCATCAAATTTTCAGTACTTTTGTTGCTTTTTAGATTAAATATAAAATAATTTTAAACAAATAAATGTAATTTAAAATCTGAAGACCAGCCTCACATACAAGACAGCTAAAAAAATCCAATAGAAATAGAAGCCGCTGTGGTTATAAGACTTTTAGGCTTTGATGTGTCGAACCAAAAAAGTTATCCAGCTTGTTTTTTTTATGTATGAGGCAAAACATAATTTTGGAATTTCTAAATTTTTCTAAAACAAAGAAAAAGAATCTGAACTCATACGTCAACACTGTTTACTAACTAGGCTGTAACTACTTCACGTACTTTACAGAGCAGCAGAGGCAGCCGTTTCTCAGCTCCAGCCACTCCTCATACAGCTCGCCGGACTGACTCACTGCAAGGGACTTCTCAAGAGCGCTACCTGCAGGAGAACATCCACAGAAGATCAGCTGACCAAAAACAGCAAGGTCCATCAAAGATTTAGAATTTTAAAATTGCATGCTTTTTTCCTTTTTATTCCGGTAAATGTTTGTTATGATGATGCTCTCATGTGACAAGCACTGGAAACCACAATAGAAACAATTATAAAAACGTTTAAAAAAGCAAGAAATCACAAGCTTTTCAACAGGTGTATTAGACTATCATAAAGAAGAGTTTTTGCCGACCTAATATCACTTAAAATGAGTTCTTTTGATTGCTCTGAAAAGCATTAATCGTTTACCCTCTCCAAATTCATTGAGAATGACAGCAATCCGCTTGTTGTGTTGCTCTGTTAAGATGTAGTTCAAGAGTGTGGTCTTTCCAGCACCTGTAAAGAAAGACAGAATCCCTGTATCTGTATATCAATATACTCAGGATACAAAACAGTGTGAGTGAGCAACAAGCTGCTTTGTTGGAGATCATAATCTCATGTATAAGCTCATTAAAGCTGTAAGTGCAGGTCTTACCCAGGTAGCCTGTGATGATGGTGACAGGAATCTGCTGAGCAGGGACACCCGGCTGACTGTCAATGGGGACCAGCTCTGGGCAGTCATCTTCCTCGTCCATGGTGTCATCCACTGGCGATGAAAGTTATCTTCAAGAACACAATTTAGACCTTTCATACACAGATGCATTTCATTCTAGATTTTGTTTTTACTGTGTGTGTGTAGTCTAGTATATTCTATAACAAACATAAAAATCTACAAACGAATTCGACAAGTTGTTACTTTGTACTTGTAATTCCCATTACTAATCTATATAAAAACAGAAAAGAACAATTCCCTGACATAACCGGAATAACAGAGCAGTACATTTACAATATTGTAAATAACCTCTCGGGACACTTAAGCTCCTACCCGCTGAATCGCAACCACAGAAGAGGAAGCCTCTGTATCTCAAAGTTACAGAGGTCCGAGATATTCACCAGCCTGTAACTTCAAAAACTGCTGATGGAGAAAGTTCTGTCAATGCTTGCTCCAGTTCCAGCTCTCGATCGCTGTATTTTGGATCGTGTCACGCTGGCTAGACTCCGCCGAAATCCTGAAGCCATGAGATTGGTTCCGCTGTCATTACAGCAGCCAAACAGACGGAAAAAGCACCAAAAAGATATAAATGTACTATAAGATTAGAATTATACAACACATTCTGAGCAATGTCAGATTTATTTCCCACAAAAATGAACAATTTTGACGGAGAGGGGGAGGGGGAGAGGGCGGGATGGAGCAGGGCAGATGAAGCACCATAACTAGCCAGTAGATGGCAGCAGAAACGCTTTATTGCATATTGTTTTGAAAATGATCACGAAAATATGCACGAACTACTTTTTATTACACTTGAATTTTTATTTTCTAATGCCACACACATATATGTGGCGAAATCGAAATAATTTTCCCACACAAATTTAATTTTTGAAAACGTATTTCAAAAGCTAATGACGTTACATGTTACATGACTACTGTACAGCATATGAATTCAAGTAATGTTCTGGACTTTCACTGTCTCAAAAAGGCAGTCAACACTTTCACAAAATACTGACTACTTTGCTTTGGATTTTGTGACATTTAAGCTAAGAAAACATAACACATCGAGCGAATTTTTCATAATGATATGGTGGAGATATTGCATCAAGCAGAAACACCTGTTTTCAATTATGTTGAAAGGAAAGACTATCCCATTCACTTTAATTTCCTTTTATCTTTACAGAGAAGAAAACAACTTTCAAATACTTGATAGTAAAAGTAAAGTTATTTAGGAGGTTTCAACATACATGGCCCAATAGATATCTTGTCCATAGTCTGGCTGAATGCATTCGGGTTTATCTTGAAACTCATTCTCTATCTCTATCTTGAGTATCAGTATCAGCAAGAGATGCTGCATTCATTCATCTCCCTTTGAAAGGACATGGGGTAAGTCAGCCTGCAGGCACTAGATGGTGCAATGGGCTTTGTTTTGTGAGAGAATTACCCCAATTGAATTTCTTTATTGTTCAACCTTAAACAGAACCAATAACCCCATCCCTCCACAAAAAGAAAAAGAAATAAGGATGCTAAAAAACAATCCATATTAAACTATATCCAGAGTATTTTCAAAGTAAGGAGACAAAGCTGTGTTGTATTTGTCCATATTCTTCTTTTAAGGCTGATGTAAACAGCAGCTGTTTACATGATGGATGTTTTCATTTTGTTGTCAAATTATTTTATCTAGTTGTTCCGAAACTGGAACAATCATGTGTCCAACACTTTTCTTGTCTTGAAAACGCATTAAATCATGTCACTGACTGTCCCTCCTATACCATAAACAGTATGAGGTAGAATTGTACGGACCCAGATGGATCAATGACCTGTCTCCCACAAAAAATTCTCTTTGGTTTTTGAAGTCCTGATCCACACAAAACTATATAGCAGCATTTTGTGAATGCTATTTGATATTTGTGTCTGGTATGGGAGTTTAAAATCCCCCTGAAATGGAGTGACATAATCTTTGATGGTTCTCAGTTCCTCTTCTGCAAAACCATTCAAAATAAATATAGCTCTTCCTTCCTCAGTATGTGAATGGGAAAGTTACTTAAGTCTGCCAGTACCTCAAGAGGTTGTACATATATTATGTATATTCAAAAGAGGGCTATCTTCAGGTAGTCCCATCCCATAAAAATGGGACACACCAAGTGTCAAAACATTACTGAAATGACTAAAGGTGGACTTCAAATTAGTATGATTTTTCTCCCGAAAAATATTAGTTTGCTCACAAATAAAAAACTCCCTTAAACCCTTCACTAGGAGCATTTAAAAAAAACAAACAAACAAACAGGGAAACAACGGTGGCTGTTGGTTGGCTCTCATTCGTCTCTGCAGCGAGGGAGCGCACGTGCTTCATACACACTGTTCCGTCCAACACCCCCTCCACACACACACACACACACACACACACAGACACACACACACACACACACACACACACTCACGCACAGCCCTCCCACCCTCGCGCTTGCCGGCGTCTGCCTCCTTCTCTCCCCTCGCGTCGCTCCCCCTCGCCGGGATGCCTCGGAGTCAAGGCGGAAGTGTCCGCCCAGCACATCTGCCAGCGCGAGCTCCCAGCGCGAGCAGCCAGCGCGAGCGTTGTGCGCTGTGACAGCTGATCAGTGGCTCCGCGAGAGCACGGCGGAAACACCAAAAAGCACCCATCAGCTGACTGAACTTCACACACTCTCTCCCCCGATGGCCTCTATGGGCAGTGCGGAGCGACGGGCGTTCGCTCTGAAGATCAACAGGTAAAAAAAAAAAAATCGTCGTTCCGGTCTGGTTGAAGGGGGGGTTTGTGGAGTGAGTGGATCTTCTGGAGTAAGGTGGGGAAAGCAGCGTGTTGATATTTTTGGACTGGATACCGCTGTGGAGAGCAGGCAGCCACATGTTATGAATGTGAACACCGCAGGTTGATTTCGACCCTGCCCCGGAAAAAAGGGCAGCCCCAGGGGCTGCAATCTCTCAACTTTTCTTCCAACTTTATCGCGAGTGCTCTCGGGAGTCATTGACAGTGACAGCCATGTGATCGAACGTTAGCCTAGGATTTTGGCAGCGTGCTTCATATCTGCTTTAATCTAACGGATCTTGCAAAAAATGCAAAGCTGATTTCCTCTTTTTGACCATTCTAAATCTAGAGGCTCTAATGTGATCATTTCCTGTTGTGCGTAAGGTCTGACAAACCCATCGAGCCGGTGTAAATGAGGAGGGATGTGGTCATAGTTCCTGCTGTGACTATGGCCAGGTGTGGAGGAAATGTGCACATGGAAGTCTATTGTGTGGCCTGCCCACTCTGCTGCTCAACTTAAACACAAATACACAAATGCCTATTTTTTTATTTGGTCTATTGACACACGAGGCAACTGTGAGACCACTCTGAAATGATGCTTTCCACTTTTTTTTTGTCCATTGGAGTTCATTCAGATTGTGAAAGTGGATTAAAGTACCAGGTCAAGAGCAGGGATGCAGATTATTTTTGGCCAATCACAGACTATTTGTTAAGCTGTCTAAGTTATCTTTCCCTCAGTTTTTCTGTGTGCTACGCTCTTGTTTTTAATAGCCAGGGGAGAGAAAAAAAGCCTGTCTGTTTTTTGTGCTGCGCTGGGCAGAGCTGAGCTCAGCTGCTGAGAGATGAGAGGGATCTTGGTAGGCTGCCTAAATTCAGTGATGAGACAGCAGAGGGGCTGGCGAGATGATGTGATCCAGCACCAGAGAGTGGTGCTGTGCCTTTCATAGTGTGAGACCGTTGAGTACAATCTATTAGTCGATATATATGACCTGAAAGATCAAATGTGCATTAATTGATACCTTAGAGAACCATTTAAATGTAACCAAACCTCAGACCCATAATGCTGTCTATGCTCTATTTTCTCTTTAGTGACTTACTAAAGAGCTAACCTACCTATTACAATGAGTCTCAGAAGCACAGAGTTAAAGATAAAAAGGGGGCATACAAGCAAAGAAGTTATTATTGTGGTTTTAAAATGGTAAATCCGTCAGAGAAGATTTTCTGAAATCCATTTAGCCTCGGAGGGAATCCGAGAGCCAAAACCCTGTTTTTGGTGGTCATGAGCTGATTGTCTCGCAGCGCAGTGAGTCAGCTTTGCTGTCCACGCTGCGGGCCTGTGAGCTTCTTTGTCAGCAGTCGAAAGACGACTTCACCACCAGAAGCTCTGAGGATTTAGCACGGAACGCCAACTCTCGATGAGCCTCGGTGAACACAGGCCAGGGGAGAACATTTCCCAAATATGTAACATATCTGAAAGTCCTTCAAACCAAAGATCTTTGAACCGCTGAAACAAATCCTTTCCAAAATTGCGGAAGAAATGACAGAGAAAAAAGAGGATGAGCTCTTGAGCTTAAACCACTTTGCCCGTCAGTCTGTTGGCAGCCATGCTGTGACCTGAGTATAGAGATATTAGTTCTTACAGAGGCAGCAGGATTAGTGCAGGCATCTTGTGTCCTCAAATTTAGTCAAATGCATCAAAAGCCTTTAATAATCCGACAATTCAAAGCAGTCACCAGATAAAATCCATTCGGCTGAAAGATGGCTTTAAAGGCATAAAAATCATTTGTAGGTTCATGTAGTTTTTGTGATCTTGTTTAATTTTTAATTGTTTCTGAGGAACAAAATAAGCGTAACTTCTGAAACGTTTTCTGCATGGATTGCAATTGTTACTCCGCTGTTACTTTGGGGAAAACGGCTAAGGGGTTGAAGGTGTTATGAGGAATGACTTACAGTCACAGGCACAAAAGCTGAATAATCACAAGCTGCTGGACAGAGAGAAACAAAAAGAAGTCCCAAGCCAGAACTCCAACATGCGAAACACAGTATATTGACATCATTATTGTTTACATATATTATGCTGATAGAAACCCTCCACGTAGACTTGTTTTCATTGTATATATCTTTGTTGAAGCGCCCCCTAAATGCTCTGTACTCCCTCGAGCCCTTCCTCCCTCAACATATCTACCAGGATGGAGTGTGAAGGAAATCCTGCAAACTGAGGACGCTCTTTGACTCTGGGGTTTCACTTCGCTTTTTGCCCATGGCAGTTTTAAATCAGGAAATGTGTGTTTCTTCATCAGCACATGAAAAGAGGAATGGAAAAGTAGTGTGAGATTGTCCTGACAAACAAATGCATCATCCCAACCCGGGATACAGCGCTGGACTTTGGTGGGCAAAACTCTTAATGAACCGCGTGCCGGACTGGATTCAATTTAAAAGCATATGGTGACAGGTGTGGGGGACAGCTGTGGATGTGGGGCCTCTGTCTTTAAACGCTCATAAGTGGGGAGGGGCTCTGGATTGAGTTTCGGCTGATTTCCTTTGGGTTTTGATGTCATCTGTTAACCCTCTTGTCTGGTGGTGGGCCGCTAAGTTTTTCAGGCTCGTGATGTGTAAAAAGACCCAACATCCAAACCCCGCCACAGGTTTCTGCCTAAAATCTCCTCTGGCCGCTGGATGTTGCCCGGAGCCGCCTGTGACCCGTCCCTCCAAAAGGACTCGCTGTGTTTGTGCGTGCCTCCCTTCAACAGGAAACCGAGTGGTGATGCTGCTGATAGCAGTGAGACCTATTAAGTCTGGAGACACATGATAGCATGAGACACACAGTGGGACCGTCCCCTCAGTCTTTTTTTATGTATACCATGCTGCTTTTTGTTTTCCTGTTTGGATAAAAAAAAAGAACGATCCACCTTTAGAGCCACAGGGTTTTTTAAACTTCAAGTTGCCATCCACCGCTTGTAGTGGGGTCTTAAAATAGTGTTAGGCCTGATTAGTTTGACTGGTAGAGGTCACATAATGAAGAGGCTAATACAGATGATCTTGTTTGCAGCTGTAAGACTGACCATCCCCGGTCACTATTAAATCAGAGGTGATGCCCTGAGAAGTACAGTAGTTATTATTTGGTTTCTGTAGCAGAGTACAGCTGGAGGAATATGAGGGAAGCGATGCCGGAAATGCTGACAGGAGCATACAGGGAGTGCACACAGCGAGTGCAGGCCTGCCGTGTGTAGCATGACAGAATTAAATGGGCCTCTCGCTGTAAGGAGGCGCGATTAAGTGTCTAAACACCAAACCCACGTTGAGTTTTCTTCCTGTGGAGATTTCCCAAGACTCTTGAATAATCGGCTTTGGTTCTGGTCGATGATTTAGGAAATTCTCTAATGGAAGCAAAGTGCCGCAGGATCATGTAGCACCTACTTTTGTCTGATTTTCAAATCAAATTAAGTCTAACTGAACTGGTGACAGATTAAGGACGTGTCTGGCATGACATAAATATTTCACCCCTCCCCCCAGCTGCTTTATTAAAAGATATTTCCTTCTGAATAATGGTAAAACACTTTGCCCCTCTATCTTCTCTCGCCGTCTTTTGATAAGGGAAATATTATTATTTTTTCTTTATTTCATTATCACAGTGTGACACTGAAAATGAGGCATGGAATTATGAGGGTATCTGCTGATCTATTGATCAGAAATGGAATCATTTATATATTCCAGGGTGCTACAGCAATGCTTGCCTCTCTTTTAGTATCATCAAGTTTGTTGTTCATTAATGTTTGATAGAGTCCTGTGGAAATTAGCTGTGTCTTTTGTGATTAATTAGTCTACTAATGAGTGCTGTGACATTATACCGTGTTGGCTGTGTGTAATGCTTGCTCTATATTTTCATTTTTAAAAAAAGGGCCATTTCAAGATCCGGTGTCTAATCATGTGCTCTGCTTTCGAGTTTTTGTTTTTACCTATACGACCTACATTTTTACCATCTATAGCTGCTTCCAGTCACAATTCTGGGGTCTTATTGGCTCAGCAGCTTTAATAGCACCGCCCTCTTCTGTAATCATTATCTGTTCTAATTATAACTCGGTAGAAAAAGGTTGGGAAAGACAAACTGGCAATTGCTGTCACAAGGCTGTGCATTTGGCAGGAAGAATGCTTTCTTAACAGCAGTTCAGGGGGTTACTTCCCAAATAGAGGCAACATGATGTGATGGATTTTCTGTCGTCCCCCTCATGTCATGGCCTTGACCCATCAGTTAGCTTACGTGCACACAACGCAGACGGTCAGTTTGCTGAGAGATATAACCACGCCAAGGCATACTGAACTCACAGGTAACTGCACAACCTCTGTTTTTTGTTCAAGTTTTAGTCCACATCCATGATTTGTTTCCGGTCCAGAAGTCAGCAGCTTTCAGAAAGGGTTAGAGATGATTGTGGTGTATTTGAAACTTCCACTTCATCTAGATCTGTTACCCCTAATTCAAACTATTGGAGGATTGCATCGACTGGACGGGAGACTGGCAAAGTCTGGGCATTTTGTTGCTGCACGGTGACACAGAAATCTCAGAGCCGACGTTTTGCTTTCTGATGAGGATCAAAACCCCACAAAGAGAGAAAAAACTAACTGGAGTGGTCAAAATGAACAAACTGGATTTCGTTCACATCGAGGTCAGGCCATGACTCTGCCGCTGCTCAGGAACTTTGTCACGTCAGCTAAAAGCCACAGAAGTATTCTTGACCATTAAATATTTGCTCCTTTGAAGTCTCGACTCTGGGTTGATCCCCTTATGAAATCAATGATTTTCCAGAACTTGTGTCTCTGTTGCTTTAGTTTAAAGTAATAATCCCGCCAGCAGTTCCAGTTAGCCTCACGGCACACGTTGCATTTGGTAGAATTTTTGTGAAATGACTGAAATCCAGAGCTCTGCTTTTATCCTCCTGACAAGGGCAGGGTTTTATCTAGCTAAAGATGCCAAGGCAGAGGCCGGCTGACGAGGGAGACAGATGTTGTCTGCAGTGACAAGCTGTTTGTCTGCTCGTGGTAAAATGATGTCAGCTCAGCTCTTCTGGCAAGAGCTGATTACTGTTGTAGTTGCCTGGTCTTTTTATAGATAGTCCCCTAATGTGTGTCATTGCATGCAACTTAACCCCCCCCCCTCCATGTGTGTATAAATCTGTACATGTACAAATGATACATTTTACACACACAGAAGGATGGTGCTTATTAGTGACGCAGTGGTTAAAAATCTCCCTTTATACAAAGGACATGGCTTGTATTTTCAGAGGGTCGTACTATAAGTGTTTGTTTTTAAAGTTCCTGCAAATCTAAAGATCTGCCTATGGGTCTAAGGAGACATTGTGTGCTATGATAAGAGAATCAGCCTGGCAGAAAACAGAAACTGGTATTTTAGAGCATCAAAGAAATACTACAACCACAAAAGCCTGAACAGCAGGCCATTGTCGTTTTAACCAGTCTAACCAGTGTGGTGCTGGAGTCAGAACTCTGCTGCTAGTCGGACCTCGACAGAAAACAGTGATTGTACCTTGTTTTGACTTGAAGCTCTCTGTAGCTTTAGTCTGTCAGACGCAGCTGCTTTTTAGCTGTGCAGGCGTATGTGATTGGAAATATTGAAGCAATATCCACCGAATACTTCGATTTGCTGATAAAAGAAAGGGTGTAAATGTTAGATTCCCTCACAACCGTCTGTTGTGTCGTTGTGCACGGAATCGATGTCCAGCTCCGACAAAGCTGTTCGTTGGCCGGCTGGGTTGTGGACGTAGCTCACAGCATTTTACGTGTGTACATATGGGGTTAAACTTTGAAGGCTAAAAGTAACTTTTGCACTCGGGAGATTGCACAACACTCTTTGTTTCCTGTGTTACGACTAAAAGTTGGAAACGTGACCGTAGCAGCTCATTATTTAAACCCGGCCAATGTGTTTTTTTTCATGTCAGCGTTGCTTTGGACCTTTGATTATCACTGGAATACTTTCTTAGTGGAGAAACTGTGTGTTTGAATACAATGCGGCGGCACTACTGGACTTTGCTCTTTGTGTACATTGTGTACATCCTGGCATTTATCTGCTGTTCTGACTCAAGCATTTTATGATTGGCAATGGGAGGGGCCCCTGCAGACCTCATTGACTGTATTTTAAAAGCTTGATCATTTTATTTTTCTAAAACATTAAATAAAACCCTTTTAGAGTTTAAAACTCTAAAACATTTGAACATTTTAGATGTCGTCGTAAAGCTGACAAGTAGAGCTACGGGACTCCTCGAGCTTGGGTAGTTAGACACGCCTCCTGTCTGTCATTGTTTATTGCTTTATGATAATTATTTACAGTGATGTCATAACCACCACAGTGAGGAGTTAATGAAGCCATGAGGCTGACCTGAGGGGAAGTAGTTTGCCACGTGACACTTTGCCTTCGTCTTTGGCTGCCAACTCCTCACTGCATGGAACTATCACAATGAAGAGTTACTGACATCCACACATCTTATCACCGGTGTTTTAAACCCACTAGTGCAACTAGCTGTCTTATTTTGCAGAATTTGGTGGGGCTCCAGTGATGCTGTAGATGAATTACAAAGAAACAGACAGCCGACATGCTCTGAGATGGAATTTGTTCGACAAATTAGGGCACTGCCTCTGTCCATGGCATTCTGCGCTCCCCCCACTTTTCAGGGGAGGCTACAGGCAAACGCACACTATCTCTCACACTAACAACATCCACCCTGCACATCTGAATTATGCTTTATTCTTATGTCATGTTGATTTCTTGCTCGGTCTGACCCATAAATAAGGACACCACATTAATTCCGCTCCCCGTTTGGGAGCCAGCGTGGCAAGCCTTTTCATGGCTAGCAGTGATGCGCTTTTGTCTGGGCTGAACAATAGTTTGAATAGACTTACAATGACTGCCCAACTCAAACCAGTGTGAGTTGAAACAATGGTGGAATTGGTTTTGGATCTGCTATGAATTTGTGCTACTTGCACGTCGGCTTGAACGTAAATGTCTGTGTCTACATAAATGAGTATTTTTAATTTTGTTATTCACTGTCTCCTTACCAATCTGTTCTTTCAATGTTTACATCAGGCACTCCTCCGCGGAGATCAGACGGCACTTCAGCGGCAGCCATGGTTTTTATCACAGCCGAACCAGCTCCAATGCTTCGGTCACAGCCTACCTCACAGTGGTGAGTTCTTCTATGATACAGCTGATGTTTGGAGACTAGACATTTTTATTCAGCGGGGCACTGTGAAACCATCCTAGTTTAGTCTAGTAATAATGTACAGCTACCAATGAACTAACCACAGTGACAGATAGAGGTGATAGTAATAAGAAGAAACAATAAAAGCATTAAATGTTTTTTTTATTTTTATATTCTGCTTTATTTTCACTAATTCTTAACATGTGAAGTCGAGTCTGACTTCATTTGAAGTGTTTGGGTATATGCAGTGAGACTAATAGGTTCAAAGATTTGTGCTAACACTACCAGGGGTTTGTAAGCAAATCCTCACATCCTCTTTTCTGTTATTAACCGAGAGAATGTCGGACTCAGACCAGTGTCTAGTCTTCAAGATTATTCTTTAAGTCCGTGACAATTTGGAGAAAACAAAAGGAAATGCTCTGCATGTCTTTGAATAAGATCCATTTGCAGTAGGCTATGTGAACTGTAGAACGGTTGGGAATGTACATGCCTTATGGCTTTAAGTGGTTTAGAAGTCTGTCCTTTAGCTTCTGCAGCAGAGAGTCAGTGTGATTCCTTCTTTCTTAAGCAAGCAGACAGAGTGATGCACAGTAATCCTTTACAGGGATTTTCTCCCACTACACTTTGAGTCATTCCGTGGTACCCTCTGAACCTTTGTCTCTGCCTCCCAGCCTCGTATATTCCACTTTACACTCTTTCTCTTTTTTTTTATACCACAGTAGCTCCCTCTCCATTGACCTACATTTTTACCATCTAAAGTTTTCTGAAGCTCTTCGGCCCTGGTATATCTGCCGGAGGAGAGACTTGGCTAACACCCTTTTGCAGTCTCTCAGTAATGATTCCAGAGCTTGTCAGCCAACAGGTTGGGTGTACCAGCACTTGCACCATCCACACCAGCCCAGCTTGTGGCATCCAGCGCTGTAAATCTTTAACCAGCTTGTGAAATGGGTCAGAGCCTCGGCTACTGATAGGCGTTAGCCGGGGCCCGCTTACCTTGCAGCTTATGGGTAAAAATCTTTAATATGACCGGATTTGGGATGCAGGAGAGGGCTTTAAATACCATAATCTCTGAGATGGTAGTTTCCTGTTACTGAGCAGTCTTGTCAAGGCACAGGGATGATGAGGGATGTTTGTTGCCACAGTTGTGATGCAGATGAGTGAGGCGACTGTCACCGGCCCAGTCTATTTTGATGGTCGATTTTTACGTCTGAATTTCTAACTGCAGCCTTTTCAGTGTTATTCGAGGTGTGCCGCAAATATTAAGAGACCAGCAGGAACAGCTGCATGCACTTTTTCTCACCGTTGCAGCCCTGCTAATCTTCATGCACAAGCAGCATGCTGGTGTGTGTTTGCGGCTGTACTCTGTTCCTGTGTGTTGAAATTCGGGTTGATGGAGGGACGTCTTGTTGATGTCACTTCCTCTAATTTCTTGTGGTTTCTCCCTTGAAGCTGTGAAACTGCAATGATTTTATTTGTTCAGACAATGAGGCTCACCTTTAAAGGCGTTATTCTCTTGCATTTTGACTTATAATGCGCAGTTCTTCTCAGCTCTAGAGGACTTTAGATAATGACTTTAAAGAGGATGTATGAGTTGGGTTGGATCTGGGCTTCTGCTAAAACCATTGAGTGCTAGTTGGTGCGCGCTGTAGTGTAGGTTCCTATATCCGGAGTGCGCCATTTTGTACACTTCCCTTTTATTGTGCATTTTTCAGTTTTCGTCTGGGTAAGTCTACAGTATCTGTTTTTGCACTGCCGTCATTGTAAAACTGACAGAAACTTGAAAATGAGAGTAATATTAACATGCTTGATGTCATAGGTCAGTTTGAATTTGGCTGTAGTTTGTTTGAATGTTGTTTACAGTCAGTTCCCTGCGTATCTGCTCTCTCTCGCGACTATTTAGTGCACATTTAGAAATGCAATGTAGTGTTTGAATGATATTTTATTGAATGGAGTTTTTTTTTCTTCTCTGTGCTTTGATATTGATCCAAATGTCTGTGCAGAGTTTTATTCTTACATAAAGTGATGCACAAGTGTGATGTTTATAGTCACCGGTATCTGAATTGACAGGGAGTTTTTTTTGTACCGGGCCCTCTCTAGACTCCACAGAGCAGCAGGCACGGCTCAGAAACATGCATAGATTTGCATTCATTTATTTTTTCGGGCTCTATACTAAACATAAAAAGAGGCTTGTCTACAATGACGGTCTGAACTCTGAGATAAAAAGCAGCACACTGAGTTGGGTGAGGAACTTCACAATTGTGAGATTTCTGTTGGTTCATGTTCACACCTCCTGTGTGAAAAGAAGGAGCTCTGTCTGTGAGTCTGTCATTAAGAATGATTATGACCAGTGTACCTTTTGCATGCTAGCCATTGTTACTAAACTGTGTGATGCAGTTTGTTCAGCTGCAGAGCAGAGTGCAGAGCAGAACGCCTCCGGGTGCACCGATGTGCAAAAACCTGTCTGAAGGCAAAAGGAATTTGCCCTGCTTTTAAAAGCTGGGGATAGCAGTGACTAATGTTGTGGCTCCAGTTATCTCCACCTCTTCTCTGTGTACACACTGTTAGTGTGAGAGACCGGCTGCTATTGAACTGTATTTTCGTTTTTTTCAAGCACAGACATTTCTCCCCTTCATCCAGTTGTCTGGAGAATGCTTTCCTTTGTACCTGCGTGGCACAACAGGCATGTCTAAAAGCTGAAATCCTCCAGTACATAGCGATTTTTACTCTTGCCTTTGCCCTACTTTTAATTCAGATTCTCAGAATGATATAATGGTGACATTTTTAACGCTTTTTTCACTCCGGCTGCAGCCTGCAGTGTGCAATAAGTTTGGAAAGCTAACCAGTTTGCTGGATGTGGAGTGTGGATTTATGTGTTGACAGTGATAATGATTAGCGCCTCCTCAAAGTTGCAAATATTAAACTTTCAGCCTATTTATACAGTGCATTATAAGGATTAAATATTTCCTTTTTAGTCAAGAGCAGAGTGTAGGATTTTAGTTACTGTCTAAAAATAGGCTCAAAGGGGAGAAAAATAGCCTGCTTTATGAAAAAAATGTTGTTCCAGTTTCTTTCTCTGTGCGCGCTTGTGTGTTTTTTGTTCCTAGACAGGTATGAAGTATTAGGAAACAATCATGACTCAACACGTTTGGATCCACCTCACTAAGAGTTTATTTTCTTTTTCCACAAACGTTGCCTGTGCTGGACAGTTGAAACATACCAGTCGTTCTTTTGGCTTTGCTTCAGTCAGTCATTGTATGTTTGATTAACCACTTAATAAAGTGAAGCATCACATAGATATCACATAGTTATATCTGTCATTTTTTGCTCTCCAACTTAGTTTTTTGTGCCTATTATACATGTAGTTAAATATTATTGCACTTGGGGGGGGGGGATGTTTTCAGTGTTTCAATGCGAAACTACAGTAAAAATGTCCCGTGCTGATTCGCTAATTAGTGCTTATTTAGATATTTGAGTTTTGATGTTTATTTGTAATCTTTTCATGCTTCTCTTCACCTTGTTTTTCCCCCATCCATCTGCTTCTTCCGTCACAACTGGATTCTTCAGCCTCCGACGTATGACGCAGTGGAGCCATTGGACCTGGAGGAGTTCCTGATGTCACAGTTAAGAAGCGGAGACTCAGCTCTGATGCAAGAACTTGGTGACTTTCCTGATGACGACCTCAAAGTGGAGCAGGTGGAGAAGGAGCGCCGCACTATCCGACACTCTGTCCCAGAGGAAGGGTGAGTTACAGGCCACACGACATTTGAGAAAAAGACACTCATGAATGCTGTTTTATCAGGAAAAAGAGATTAACTGACAGGACAAAGATCATAGAAGATAGTGTCAGTAGAGCTTAAAAGAATTTCTACAATTTTAGAACAACCAAGAAAAATGCTTCAGTATGTAAGGTTTCAATTGAAATGTGTTTGGTCATTATAAAACTATTCCATCTGCGTTTGATATCTAATTCAAAGCATTCTTGTACCCTACAACTTGGCCATGAAGCGCATATTAAGATATGAAAACAATTTCAGGTTTTCTTTTGCCCGTAAGTGTCTGCACACATGTCTGTCTGTACATATATTTTTATTGTCCTCACCTCTGCCCTTACAGAGTGGAGTTGGATCCACATGTTAGAGACTGTGTTAACAGTTACACCCAGCCCTGGCTCCTAGTCTCCAGACGGTAAACACTCTGGTTCTCATGCATTACAGCACTCGCTCTATTCCTTATTGTTTAGTTGTAAGAATTATACACTGATCTTTGACCACTGATCTTTGTATGTGCGTCTGTGTGAAGATGCCAAGGGGATGGCTGGAGTGCATATTCGGAGCGAGCTGGCCTACACAAACTCCTGCAGAAGCAAACTTTTGAGTCCGACGTTCAACCAGAAAACCAAGACAAACCAGTAAGGCGTCAAAATCCACTGTCACGTTAGACATTTGTAATTACTGTTGTATAAACTAACCTCCACATATTCACTGTAAGCACCTTTTTACAAAAGAGTGTTCTTCCAATCAGTGTCTATTGGAGAGCTTTGTGGCCGACGGTCTTCACCGGGAAGTTTTGAAACAAAGCATAACCAAAACAGTGTAGTAATGCTTTGTTGCAAAGCTTACATTTTCTTTAAGACAATAAGATATTAATCTGCATTTGCCAATAAATTCATGCTTTACCAATGCCATTTCCCTATTCATCAGAATTACAATCTGGAATCCTGGTGATGTAAGGCTACACCCAGGCTCTCTCACGGTATCTTTTTTTTGGGGGGGTACGAGGAGTTGAATAGCGAATTTAAAGTAAATACTTTGAAAATTCATTTAACAACTTTTAGAAATGCAGATTGATGCATTTCCTCTTCAATCCCACTTTTCAGTTTTCATGTTAAACTAAAATAAATGAAAATCCTCTGCATCCCACACTTAGGTATGGATATTAGATGTAGATTAAAGCACTTCCTGAATGTCAAATTGTGTCTTAAGCAGAACTACAAGAAAAGCTACTTTGTTCGTGAAGACCAATGCTCTTTGTTTAGTTAAAATGCCTTTTGTTTGGGAAAGACTGCCTCGCAAGAGCAGTGTGGTAGTCCATACTGATCGAAGCCTGAGAGAGATGAGTTTGAACTGTGAAGGGGTGGATGCTTTAATAGCCACTGAACACAACAGTGTGTTGTTATTCCCCTCACTCTCTGTACGGTGGCAGAGGCCCTTTAAAGTTTCAGTTTTTTTCAAGCTGGCATAAGCCGGTGTTTTCGACCAGAGCGGTGCATGCCACGCATTCAAAAGATTGTGACAAATGTGGCAAACTGATGATTAATATTCACATGGATGTCTCTGCCTTTATTTCCAGCTTAGTTCCGTGCCACAGTCTCTACTGTTATTATATCAGGCAACGTTCCCGTCCTATCTCACTAGCCTCTCTCTAGCTTTTCGGTCTCACATTCACAAATCCCCAACCATCCAAGTCACAGTCAGCACGGCTCCCAGCCTCTGGCTCAGCCAGTCTCACCAGCCCCCTCCTGCTGCCCCATCCTTGCCAATCCTGGTTAATCACTGAAACCAAAAGGCCCCCTTATTATGGCTGAAGGCTTCCCATCATCTACATGCCAGCATAAGAGGGGAAGAGAGGGAGAGAACGGCACTATTGTCATTCAGTATTTAAAAGCTACGGTCCAATATGCTTTAACAAAAGCCCCGGGCTCGGGATGTGACAGTCCCTTGGAACCTCAACAGGGCGAACCTTCACCCGGTTGGATGGTCGGTCAGTCCTAGCCTGTGGTGTGAGAGACTGGATGTGAATTTGATGGATGATGAGAGCGAAAGAGACAAGAGCAAGGGGTGGCATGAGGGAACGTTCTAATCAGGATGTAGAATGAGAGCAGGGAATTTGTGACATGCCCCATAGCGCTGTCTGAGTAACTCCATATGGATCCAATGCCTAGAGAGACAGACAGGGGTACTTAATGATTCATTTTTGCTTAAGATGTGGTAATTATACAAATAATGCAATAGATTCAGATAATTTACAGTTCATCTTTTCATAAATTACAATACTAATTGTTTCATCTGTTGTACTTAAAGTCCTCCCTAAAAAAAATGTCACCTTGTTATTACTTTTAGTACAATGTCTGATGATCCATCTCCCTGTCATGTGTTTTCCCCCACAGTGCTGAAAGGCTAGATAGGTCCTCACTTACTGAATGAGGAAAACACTTTTATGTAGATTATGAAGAGATGAACAGATGATAAGAAAGAATATCTAGTACCTTTCCTTTAGTGAACGCTCTATGGTCCAGATCTGTGATTGCATTTCAGATGAGAACACATACAGAACATTTATGTTTGAGGATTTAGGATATTTCAGCTTAAGCATTCACAGTATGTTTGTGGTGTGCTTTTTACATTGAATACATTTATATTACAAACTCTCAAGAGACTGTCATCATCTTAAGGCCAAAACAACACTGTCTAGACTCTTTAAATGCCTGTTAGCTGTTTATCATGTCTCCTGTTAACAGAGCCTGCATTTTTAATGGGGTTGTATGTTGTTGTTAAAGACAAAACGTTGCTTTTATAGATGGATGGACATTGTATTTGGATGTTTTGTTTTTTTAAAATGTCCTTACCCTTATTGCATCTTCTTTTGATTGTTTTTTTACATATACAATTTAATTAAAAAATTCTATCCTTTTGCTCTGTCTCTTTGCCCCAGGTCAAGTCTCCAACCCTTGCAGGGCTAAGCGATGATGCGGACCGCACGCTAACCTCGTCTGATTTCAACTTGCGATGTTTGAACCCGGACCAGAGAGTGGAGGGTCTTCTGGCTTTCAGCAGCCACGAGGAGCTGGACCGCTTCAACCAGGAGGCGCGGCAGGGAAACCGACACCCTGAGCTGTTCGCTCTTTACCCACCAGTTGATGAGGTGAAGCGTTATGAATGGATACAGTCAACACGATTAAATAAACCAGTGCAGATGGATGTAATGAGTTAGCTTTTACCTTAAATTGTATTCTAATGCAGCCTAAAGACCAATACAGGTCAACACTTAGATGAACTTAAAAGACTGATCTCCGACTTGAATGTAATAACGTTCGTCACAAATGAAATGACCAACATCTCTGTTTTGTTCATTTAAGATGCTAGAATTAATTAAAGAATATATACAACATTTCTAGGAGGATGCAGTGGAAATCCGGCCTATTCCGGACTGCCCCAAAGAACACATTGGAGAACGTGTCCTGATCCGATGCCAGGCCTTAAAGTAAGTAATCCATTTCTATTATATTGTAACATGCACAATGCTTCTGTCTGTCATTTAAACAGCTGCCGTCTGTTTATTGAACACGTTTGACAATGCGCCAAACACACACAAAAAAAAGCTTTTCCTTGTATGTAATGTACAGAGAATAGTCGAAGTCGCATGGAGTCCTGACTTCATTTACGGTTTATTTTCACAAAAAGAGCACAGCAGTATGTCAGCGTGGAGGAGGGCTGTGTGGTGAAGTTGTTCTCCAGAAAATCTCTATCCCTCCCTTTCTCTGTGGGATATGTCTTTGTCTCTTTAACTCACTCAGTCACTCCCTCACACACACACACACACACTCACACACACACTATAAAACACACGTTTACAAAAAAACAAGGTTTCCCAGTTTTACACTCTTGAACTCGTCCGTCCTTGTGCAACTGGTGCAGCTGCCAAATGTTTGCGTTGAGCTGAGGTCTCAGCTTGCAGTGGTTTGGCAATGTCAACCCTGATCCTTTTAAGCCTCAGTTCAAAATGTCATCACTTATTGTCGTACTTTCGGTTACTTCCCATCATAACAGCAGTGTTCAGGAATAGCTTCTAAGAGCGGTAACTGTAAAAACAGAATTCTGACATTTACTCTAATTGAATCACCTCTCACTGTTTTCCTTCTGGGCTTTCTAGGTTTGAAATTGACATTGAGCCATTATTTGCTACAATGGCCTTATTCGACCTGAAAGAAAAGAAAAAGGTAAGTAATCTCCCTTCTCTGAAACATGACAACCATGGTCATTCATGTATTTCTTAATGTTTAATTAGCTGTTTCTGTAATTCTACTGATGTCAGGCATTTTAAAAATGTTTATATTAAGCTTCTTTGTGGAATGTTGGCACGTTTCTTTCTATGATGAGTGTTTATATTCACATTTCTTATTTGTGCACTGCTACTCGTACATACAGCAATGTACTGCCAAACTGTATTTATTTGCACATCTATAAGATCAGTCGTGCTCTTTGCACGACACTTCCCGGCTGTTGATGCAGGGCGTTTTCTTTCTTTGGGCAGTTTGCATGACAGTGAGAGATCAGTATAATCTAAAAAGCTCTCCATCTCATGAGCCTGACATATCCATGTCCCTGAGGGGGGGGGGTTGCATGTTTTGTTTTGTAAAAAACTTGTAAGAAAGCACACCGTGTTTTCTCAGTCAGATACAGTCAGCCAAAGCCCTTTGCACGTGTTGATGAATTCATACACCTCTACAGGTGCACACCTCCCCAGGTCAGATGAGGTTTTTGTCACTAGGCCACCCCCCCTCTCTCGTCCTACTCAGTACAGCCTTCATGCTTTCAACAAGACTAATGGCTCTGAGATACTCTCCTGGGTAGGAGAGGGCAATTTAATGCCCCCGAATGTTAAAAGAAATAGACTGTGCAAAGGAGAAAAAATCCATTTCAAGGCTACTTGCTCCATGAAATGTTGAATTGAATAGAAAATGTAAATGAAGTGAAGGTGCAGATTTGCTTTCTTTGAAGTAAAAGTGGCACTAATTTGTGACATTGTCTCAGTGTATTTAGCTCAAGTTCACTAAGTCAAATTTGTGCCACTTGGCTGAAATGTGTCCTCACGGAGGTCAAAGCAACTTCCTGCAAGTGGCAGACTGTTGGAGCTATGATGTCCGCGTCTGTGAGAAGAGAAGCTGTCAATCTTGTTGTGTCGGATAGATTTAATTGCTGTGGCTCTGTGAAGCGTTGGCTTCTGACCCACTTCTCTCTGAACTACTCGCTGTTGCTTTTCCTTCTTTGTCTTTCTGCAGCGCTCCTCACTGCACTTGTTCCTCTTCCTTTCAGCAATCCTAAACTCTTTTTCAGTGAACCCGCCTGCCCTCCTGCCGTGTTTTGTGAAGAATTCTCTGCTGTTTGGTTCACATCACTTATGTTGTTTCCCTTTTTCTTTTTTTGAAATTTAATCCACAGCAGATGTTCATAGAATTCCATATAATGCTCTAGTTATTAATCACGTGTCCCTATCCATCAGCCAGGGCAGGATTTCACCAAACTATGATAATATTAGATACATAGATGTAATGTAGAAGGAGGGTTTAAAGTAAGAATACAAACACACAAATATGCCTATGGAGTAGAAAGGAATGTCAGTAGTGTTGTTTTTACTTTACACAAATTGATTGTGTGTTTTTTGGATAATCTGCAATAGAGCCAGTTATCAAGAGTTTTTTACTAAAAACAAACTGAATTCAGTGAGTTCCAGGAAATAAGTGCTGGTTGCAAAAGGTGTCATATCTATTTTTTTGATCTTCAGTTGCTAATTTGGCAACATCGGGTGTTTTCCATCAAATAATACAAAGAATGTGACAGTCAGTTTGACAAAATGTGTCAGTGTGAAGAATAAAGTATTGTTAAAGAGGGTTACTACATTCCTTGTGTTTCAATTTATCAAAGTTAGGAGGAAATGGTAGTCATTTTTCACTCTGAATGCTGCACACTTGCTCCTTATTTAAAAGGCATTCATTCTTTTGATGAAACATTCTTTACTTTGTAGGGCAGTTGTTTCTTACTTTGACATTTTTCCTGTTATTCTATTAAATAATTTGCCAGAAAGAGATAAAAGAGAACTTACATTTGTGTTTGTGCCTCAATTTAAAGGGAAAAGTTTTTCCCCATTAGCTAAATTAGGCAATAAAAAGAGAAAGTGTCAAGAATTTATATCTTTAAAAAATGTTTCTCAGTATGTCGTGCGATGTGATGATTTGAGCAAATGTTGGCTATTCCTGTTAATATGTCGGTAAGGGTTTGTTTCTAATACTGTGCTCTGACCTGGTCAATTTAGTAGAGGTCTGGGATGAGCATTGTGAAGGAGGTTGGTTAAAAGCTTTGCAGTTAGGAGGATCACATGACACAAAGCAGGTCAGGCCAGATCAGGACATATGGCCGTGTTCCTAGCCTGAGGTCACTGTGAAGGGGAGAAGGGAAACTGTAGAGTGGACTAAAACGATGACATTTCAGTATCAGTGTTGGGCTTCCATCGGATCAGCCCGTTTTTTTTCTTTACTTACCTCATTCATTTGGTCTTTATCTAGAAAACCTTACACCTCAGATGCTCTGAATAACAAAAGAAAACAAAAAAATAACAAAAGTCAAATTGATTTGACTTGTTCTAGTTAAACAATGCTCTCTCTCACAAAATAAACTTTCAATGTCTTTCTTTTAGATATCAGAGAACTTCTACTGTGATCTAAACTCAGAACAGTTTAAGAACTTCCTAAAACCTCACACTCCACATATGGATCACTCCACACTGGCCAGATCTGCCATCTTCTCCATCACTTATCCCTCTCCAGATATATTCTTGGTCATTAAGGTAAGAAGGAAATCCATATAATCAATTAAAAAAACTTGTAAGGGTAGTATTGAGGTAGCATTTCTGGTTGTAAGTAAACTGAAAAGTTTAAGTCGAAGTATACATTCTGAATAGAATCCATACTGTTTATTTTCCAGTAAATTATAGATTTTTCAGACTTGAATAGGCTTAGCTACACGATGACTTGTGAATTTTTTTGTCTGTTTCAGATTGAGAAAGTTCTCCAACAAGGAGAGATCAGTGACTGTGCTGACTCGTACATAACACTGAGGGAATGCGACTCCAATAAGGTAGAGTGACAAAGCGTTTTCTTCCTGTCATCATCGTCAGCTCACAGAAAAATGCTGGACATTCTTTTTTTTGTCTCATCCTGATCCTGTTAATGCTTTCTCTGAGCACAAAGTTATTTTCTGCGAACGTTAAAGGTGACGACTGCCGCTGTAAATCTCTTTCAGAACAAGGACAAACTTGAAAAACTGCGAGGCCAGGCCGAGGCGTTCTGCCAGAGGCTGGGCCGCTATCGCATGCCTTTTGCCTGGGCGACTGTTAATATCATGGAAGTCATCTCCACCGCCGCTATAGAGCGTGATGTCACAGATTCTGAGAGCATAAAAGGAGGTCTGTGTTTGGGAATTCTCATGTTTCTTTCCTCGTCGACAGAAGTATGAGAGATTATTCAAAAGCAAGGCTCAACAATCATTCATCTGTGTCTTGTTTGCATCACCGATCCCCTCATTTTCTGCTCATGTGCATCACTCCCTACGATTTGTGGGCCGAGTAACGTTTTATTCCCCTAGATTTCTGGTAATAGATGTAGCCCCTACACCGTGTCAGCATGTCACGAGGCCAAAGGGAACATTAAATAGGTTATACCATTTGCAGATTATTTTTCCCTCAGTCAGTGTTTCATTTGACCCATTTCTTTTTGCTTTTTGTAAAAATCTTTTTACAGCTAAATCAAGCAGCATTGACCGAAGAGCGCAGCTTCCCAGGAGGAACTCGGAGCGTTACAATACCATGGATGAACATTTCTGTAATGTGTCTGCATTCAAACCTGCTACCATCACTATATCTACCATCTTCAAACAGGTTAGACAGGAGACTCACCCATAGATGCTCAAACAGACAAGCATGTGATAGAAGCGTAACCTTGTCTAATGCGCTTATCAAAACTACTATGCAATGCATTCCAGACACTTTTTGTAATGTTTCTACTAAAAAAAACATGGGCGAGAAAAATACTATTAGAAATTCTGTAACCAAGGGCTAAATTCATTTAATTGTATCTAAAATGAGGCAAAAAAAACTTGATAATAATAAATGTCTGTATATTTTCTGTGTCAGGAGGGAGATCGTCTAAGTGATGAAGATTTGCTGAAGTTCCTGGCTGAGATTAAGAAAACTTCAACTCCACAGAGGAGAATCAAGACCATTCCAGGTTATTTGTCATTAGATTTGAATGTTTTCTTCTGTTTTGAAGTTTTGCCAAGTCTTAATTTGTGGTTTATTTTTCTTCTCGCTGAGCTTTGAGAAAACCGATCGTGGTCCTAATCTGCTGGCATTGCAAATTTGCTTTCTTAGGGCAAAGACTGGACAGAAAGTGCAAAAACACTGGCCTTCTTCACAAGGACCTGGATTCATCCTTAAAATAATCCAACTGTAAAGCTAGAAAATAGAGTTTTCATACTTGAATCTTTGTGCTGATGAAACAGAAATTGGAATGTTCGCTTGGAAAGCCTTGTCAGGCAAGACGTTGGATTTTTCTGCCTTTGCTCAGGACAGCTAGCTCTTATTTACCATCTCTAATCTTTTTGCTGCACTATCTGGTATCTGACAGTAGCCTTAAGATTAAAAGAACACTTTCACTCTCACAGTGGTATTGATCTTCTCAGATAACTCATGGCAAGATGCATTTCCCTGAAATGTAGGACCCCTTCCTTCATTTGTGTATATGTGTATTGATTTGGCTGCGGTATTGAGGGCCAGACTTCTGTCTTCCAGGTTGCATAAAGCTGGACATGTCTCCAGTTCATGACATACCACAGGCCTGTTTGTCCCCTGAGCTTATCCCTCTGATACCGGTGGCCGAGAAAAACATTCGTCCTGTTAAGGAAGTACTGGAGTTCCCCTCCAGTGAGGTTTACGTCCCCCACAACATTTACAGGTGGGTTGAATGATATAACAAATACAGCTCTTTAAATGCATTATTTAACCTTTGGTGTTGCTAAAGACTGATGAAAAAGTTTGAGTTTATGAATTACAGTCAGTCTGTAAGAAAAAAATGCAAACAAGCTTTAGAAATACAGGATTCATGGCCTGAGGTTTAAACAGGTTTGTTTGCTCTTAAGTCTTAAGGCAGCAGGAACAGTGAGGGAGCCTTCGTCAGTCAGGAACTGATGACGAGTTGTGGCTTTGCTTCCCTAACGTGCTACTTATGTTCAGCATACTTTGCAGTTTAATACTAAGGCATTTGTCTCTAAGGTGAGGTTTAATTCTGCTGTGGGCTCCAAAGTGATTTGATTTGCAAATCAACACTTGTAAACCGGTTGCCTGCACGGTAATTACATGGTGGCTTTTCTTAACTATTTGTTGAGGAATGTGGCGGTATTTGCTTGTGTTCCAGGTTTCAGGACAGATTACAGTGTTTTATTAAAATCACAGAGTTCTGTATGAAATTACTGGCTATGGTGACATTTCCCTGACATAACACAAGTTGACAATGTTTGAGAGAGGGCGCCATCTAGTGATGTCTTTTGGAAGTGCTTTGTTTCAAATGAGGTTTTTTTCCTTTGAATATTTTAACCACAATTCTCCCAGGCACTCATTGTCCCCACGTGTCTCTTTAGGAACTTGATCTACGTTTACCCCCAGAGGCTAAATTTTGTGAATAGACTAACGTCGGCGAGAAACATCACCATCAAGACCCAGTTTATGAGTGGAGAGGACCCCAGCTGTTCCCTGCCTGTGAGTGTGGCTGCTTCACAGCTCTGTAGACATTAAAGCTGATAAGTCCTAATCATTTCAGTGTGTTTACGCATAACATAGATTGTTTAATGGAATTGCCAATAAATTCTCACTAAACTTTTATCAGTGTACTTGTCACAATAATCATAGGATAACTGGAACAGTTGGCCATTGTAGAGTTAGACTCTGTCAGTCTATGAAGATATCCAATCCAGATTCATTATGTGAATCAAAGTTATTAATGAACTTTTATGTCTTCATCTGCTCTTTTAAAGGTCATATTTGGAAAGTCGAGTGGCCCTGAATTTCTGCAAGAGGTTTACACCCCCATCACCTACCATAACAAGCAAGTATAGTTATTCAGTTACAACACAATTCATATATGCAATTGTTTTTTTTTGTAACGCACATGAATGTAAACGACTTGATAAAATAAAACTTGCCAGTAGAAGTTTGGACAGGGGCGTGAGTATCACTAAGTTGTGTCACGCTTTTTAACCATGTAAAGGTTTTGTTGCCTCTGCACTAGTTGTGAATATTAAAGGTTTACCCTTTTTTGCTTAACATTAGATCATTTGTCCTGACACATTTCCATGGACTTTTTTTTCCCCAATTGCCCATAATTTCTCCTGTCTTATTTTTCCTTTGCTGTGATTTATCTTATCAATTTCTTTTTCCAACCTCTCAGGTCTCCCGACTTCTACGAGGAGGTGAAATTGGCCCTTCCTGCTCATTTGACGGAGAGACATCACTTACTGTTCACTTTTTACCACATCAGCTGTCAGCAGAAACAGAACCAGGGCGGCAACTGCGAGACACTCATTGGATATTCAGTGAGCTTTTCATTTTTCTTTTTATGACTTCACTTTGTCAAAATCAGAGATTTTTATTTTTTGTGGCTCACATGTGCATTTCCACTAAGTCTGCTTTTTGTCTCTCACTCAGTGGCTACCCATACTGTACAGTGACCGGCTGCAGACTGGTCAGTTCTGTTTGCCCATTGTCTTGGAGAGACTTCCTGTCAACTACTCGCTGCACACACCAGAGGTAAAACCCAGTGGCACCTCTGGCTCACTTAAGAATTCAGTCAGGGTGTTCATATGAGGCTCAATGTAACCGCAAAATGTTTTTTTTTCTGAGATAAAGTGTTATTTTCCAAGCAAAGATTGGTGGCAGACTCAATACAGATATGTAATGGAGCTGTGTTTTGTAGAAACTTCCTCCCCAGGTCCCTCCAGTCAAGTGGATGGAGAGTCATAAAGGACTTTTCAACCTTGAGATCCAGGCTGTATCATCTGTACACACTCAGGTGAGAAATTGTCAGAAACACAAACAGTTACACAGGTTTTTTTCTTTCTTTTGCTCACTCTTTACTCCTGCCTCTGGGCTTTTAGGGTAGACATCTATTTACAGAAAAATACTAGAAGTGTCACCCTGCTGTTACTCCACCCCGAAGCCCCAAATCCGTTTTCTCTCAAAACATTTGCTTTCCTTTCTTTCTCTTTTTTCATTTCATTTTTCATGTTGCCGTTGTTCTCACTGCTTCCCACTAAAAAAAAAACACTAACAAATCATTCCTCTCCCGTACCAGGACAACCACCTGGAGCGTTTCTTCACCCTCTGCCATGCTCTGGAGGGTGGAGCTACATTCCCATTACGGGTCAGGGAGGAGAAGATTCCAGAGAACAAGCTGGAGCACGAACTAAAGCTCAGCATCATATCGCTCTCCTCCTCCAGCCTGGAGCCTCTGGTCCTGTTTCTCCACCGGGTGCTGGATAAACTCTTCACCCTCATCATGCAGCCTATGGTCATTGCTGGTCAGACCGGTGAGGATTACTCTAAAAATCACCGTTCTCATCTTTTCCTAATGTATCATTTATATGGGAATGTTTATATCTCTGTTTTGTGCTCTACAGCTAATCTGGCCCAGATAGCTTTCGAATCGGTAGTGTCCATCGTCAACAGCCTTCATAACAGCCAGGAGCTGGTCAGGGATCAGCAGGGCAGGAACAGCCTCTTGGCGACGTATCTGTACTGGGTGTTCCGTCTGCCCAATCCCCCGCGAGACCTGCAAAGTGCAGGTGCTGACATAATCATTTTTCAGTTTGAGTATCAGATTTTTTTTTTTCATCAATGATGATTTAATCTTCCCTGTGGACCAGGTTCCGGGAGCTCAGTACCTTCTGCGGAGAACCGTTACAGCACCATGGGCCGGGCCACGGCCACCTCTGTTGGGAATATGCTTCTCAAGTCCATAGTCCGCAGCAGCAGCAACCCGGACATCCCGGGTCCGCACACCTCAGCTGAAGACGCAGAGGTCAAAAATATCCTTTCTTCCAAGGTACTGCTGACTTTAATCTTGTTTATATAGAAGCATCTTTTCAATGAAGGCACATATTTCAGCTGGCTAATGTTTCAGTGCACTGTATTTAACTAAAGACCAACGCACAAGTTCAGAATGTACTGTATATTCTACACAGCAAGCCTGATCACACACACACACAAAGCAGCCATTTGTTGTTCATCCCCACGGTACATTAGGCATTCTAATCGGCCAATAGACCTCCCCACCAATGAATGCATCCATCACCTTCGTTGTAATGGAACTTTCTTTTTTCCAGGGCCTCAACCATCCAGGCAGTCGCATGTCCACCTACGTGGATGTAAACAACCATCAGAACCCTACAGGAAGCACCAGACCTTCCAACAGAAAGGTACCTTCTGTAACTTTTCACTGTAGCAGTTGGAGTACATTTTACAGATATAGAGTGAAATTATGCAGGGAAGGGGCATCTTAGGGGCAAAAGTTTGCATTCTCTTTTCTTTTCAGTGACGATGTTGGCTTTCTTTGACTTTATTTGGCAGAATCTCAAGAGAGACAGGAAGGAGAACTAAGTATGGTCATGGGCTTGTTGTTAAGGGCATTGAACTAGCTGCCGATGAGTCATTTGGGTGTGCATTTCCCACTCATTTCTTAACTTCTGTGTCAACATTGTTCCTGGATTTAACCATAATTATTGAACCCCTGCCACTTTAAGGGAGATTCATTTGTTTCTGTCATACAGTGAAGGTTTCCATTCGTCTATCATAGAAGATGACATATTCTATCAATGCTTTGTTAGGGCGGCAGTGTTGGAAGTCCCTTGTCATGCTCACGACTCAAAATCAGCTGGGAAAAGTAGATCATAACTTAGGATGTAAACATTATTTATCCCTTGGTAGGTATTTTGTGACTGAAAATATTTTCATTTTACTGGATGAACCCCTTGTTTGCATAGAAATAGGATAAAAATAGGTGAATAAATGTAAGACTTGTTTCACTTCATCGGCTTTAGAATCAAGCTGATCTGAAGACCTCGGATGGTTGTATTGATTGTTTGCTTAAGAGGGAAATTCAAAGGTGAACCGATGAGATGGTGCTGATATTGAATTAGTGTCAGACTGATGCATTTTTCATCTTGATATAGTCCATCTAAATGGGTTTTATTCGAACGTTAGCTTTGAGCTGGTTTTTAGCTGGAAAAAACTGTTGTTTATAAAACTCTTGTCATTCCTCTCATCAGCTGTGCAAATTGTGCACAGCTTACTTATGACAGCAGACCTTTTTTTATTCTTTTGAAAAATAGAACACAGGTAAAGGGTTATCTTTTCTTTTTTTTGGATTAGCATTCAAAGTGTTTATATATATATTTATATACATGTTTGCAAGAGGGCTAAGATTACAAACTTTTTTGGTGAGCTACTAAATGAGGGTAGCTTTGAGTCTCCGGTTCCATGCCACAGCCACAAGGTGGGAGTCTAACACTATGTTGACTTGTATTGTGTTAATCCGGTTTCAGGCAACGTTTGTCCTTATTAATTGTGGTAATAAAAGTGCTGTGTTTATTCAAATGCTTTGTTTTCTGCTGACTGTGGCTTTCAGTGCATTTCGTGTACTTTCCCTCCTGCAGCAGTTTCATGAGGAGCTGGCCCTGCAAATGGTCGTCAGCACTGGCGTGTGCAGAGAAAATGCTTACAAATATGCCTGGTTCTTCTTTGAACTGCTGGTCAGTGTTTTTTTGCTCTATTTCATCACATTACTGAAGAGAAACTAAATGAACTCAAACCAACCATTTGAACAGTAGAATAATGGCATTAATAAAAGAGCAGTTCAAAAGCATTTTGATAGAAAAATCATGATTTTAAAGATTTATCTTTATTTTATTTCTACCCTCAACCTCTCTCAAAACATCCATAGTTTACTTTAACTTTAGATATGCATCTTTTCTAATTTTTTACATAATATTAAAAGCCAATATGGATACCTAATGGATAGTCTTTCAGGATCGTAGATCAGTGGTACAGACTTTCTTGAAAAGCTATGACGTTGAACATAGATGTAGCTTTTGCTCTCCTTGACACACATTATTTACACTGCATGTTGGTGGTGTTTTCCGTTTTTGTGATCCCTCATATATGGTGTGGTAATAGGTGAAAAGCATGGCTCAGCATGTCTCTCAGCTGGACAAGCAGAGCGTTCCACGAAGAAGTCGCTTTTCTGATCGATTTAAAGATGACATCACCACCATCGTCTCTGTGGTTACAGCTGAAATTTGCACCATACTTGTCAAACAACAAAAGGTAAGAAAGAAAGGATGAGCGCAATAACAGTGCCGCAATCTCCTTTTCTTTTTCTAGGAATTTTGGTATATTTTTTTCACTTTGGTTGCACTGAAGGTTCTGCTGCCCATGTTGGCTGCGTCTATACAATAGAGGGAGAAGAAAGTGCTAATTATATTAGCCTCTTTTGTGTCAAAAGCTCAGTTTGCCCAGTGAGAATGCCTGCAGGATCCGATGAGTGCAGCATACTGATTGCTGATTGTTGACTGTTGTTACAGGAGGTAGAACAGGCCGAGAAAGTCAACATCAGCCTGGCCTTCTTCCTGTACGACCTGCTGTCTCTCATGGATCGGGGATTTGTTTTCCAGCTGGTGAAAAACTATTGCAACCAGGTAGGGTGGCATTGACGGTAAACAAAAACCGTTTAGTCAGTGTTTAAACATAAAAACTAATTTTGTGGAAACCAAAAAAAAAAGCTTAATGATACTTACCCCTAATCTTTTTTTAATCTTTACAGATGTCAGCAAAGAGTGTTTCAATGCCCACCCTGATCAGCATGCGTTTGGAGTTCTTGCGTATCCTCTGCAGTCATGAGCATTACCTCAACCTGTGCCTCTTCTTCAGCAGCCCTGCGTCTGCACCTGCCTCTCCATGCCCATCGCTCTCCTCCCAGGTGTGCCCATTTCCCTGATAAGACTACCAATCAGTAATTCGGGAACTTGGATGATTGTTTCATCAATTCAAGTGTACTTGTCCAAGCAAGTCTTGCTTTATCCACTGCAGACAGGGCTTTCCGTACTTTGGCTTTCATTTCAGAATGTAATTACGGTTGTAAAAATAAAGTACCAAAACAAGATGGGAAGATATTTGGGCATTCACTCTTGTAAATGGCCCCTTAAGAGAAGCCATCTCGGAAATATAGATATGGAAAGCGTGAAGGGGACATTTGAGGCACTAAACACGATTCAGCTCATAAAGAATTGTTTTAAAAATTGTAACATTGTGTGTGCAACTTCCTGTCATGTGAACTTTCTGTGCAGAGCTCTGGTTCATGCAGTTTCCAGGAGCAGCAGAGGATCTTGGCGCTGTTTGATCTTTCTCAGGAATTCAAGCAGCAGCATTACCTCACTGGTCTGCTACTTACAGAGCTCAGTGCCGCCCTCGACATGGAGTCAGAGGGGTAAGAGACACATTGACTGCCAGCGAGATTTCAGTCCCTACCTGATACTTTCATATTGCATTGTTATTGGAAAGCCGTACTGGCTGTGTATATATTTCAAGAATTTTTACTTAAAGATATATTCGTATTATGTATATGTGTATACGTATATTAATGATACATCTTTTTAATATATCGAATAATACTCAATATTACTGCGTAACCTCTGCAGATATCGGAAACTTTACCGTTTCAGCTGATTAACTGTAACTGTGTGCTTGCAGGGGGAAGGTTCAGAGGAAGGCTATCAATGCAATTTACAGTCTGCTGTGTTCTCATGATCTGGATCATCGCTGTATTAAACCCGAGGTCAGAGCCAAGGTGGCTGCTCTCTACCTCCCCCTGGTGGGGATCATTATAGACTCCACAAACTACCTGGATTTCACTGGTAGGTGTCAACACACATTTACCCTACTACTGTTCAAACATCGATTCAGGTATTCCATCATTGCTTTTGGCAGATTGTTTTGCCAGTCTGCAGCATGATAATGAATTCGATAGTCCTGCAATTTCTGTGAATATTTGGGACAGGAAAGAATAGCTGCTGATGTAGTTGTACTGGGATGTGTCTTTATGCTTTGATAAGAGCAAAAGTCAACAGGTTGATTTGCCTGCAACTATCTATTATTAGGTCATTTCTGTTTGAATGAAATTGTACAACCATCTGTTATCCTCCGCCCTGCATTTAATGTGGTAATGCTTAGATCTGTTTTAACTCGAATTAAGTACTCAGCAGAGTTCTATGTGAGGCTGGACCTTCTCTCTCCTTCAGTTCAGCATATCTGAGCCCTGTTTGTCTTTGTAGTTTCTGACACGCGCAGTGGGAAAAACAAGACTGGTGAACCCGAGGATGACCTTGAAAATGTCCCACCTATCAATCACACTGTTGCCATGGCGATCGCTGGGAACCCCTTTAGCACACTGGGACGAAATGTTCTCGTCTCCATGGCATCCTTGGTAAATTCTTGTCGATTATATCCATTTTCTTGATGTTAAGGCTGATAACAGGTTATTAATGTTTTTAAAAGTTCAAAAGTGCACGTGTGTGCATTTGTGTGATGCTTTATCTGTGAGTGTTGTGCTTCCCAACAGGTGAGCTGCACTAGGGCTGATTGATTAGCTGTCAGAGCCACACATGCACTTCATCCATCCTTAAAAAACACACACACACACATACACACTGGCACACATATCTGCGGGAAATGTTTTATGGGCAGGCATTGCCATCATAAGTGAACAGGGCTGTCCTCCCTGACAAACACATCCATCAAGTGAAGTTACAACAACAACACAGGCCCCAAAATTGAACACAGCCATTCTCCTCCTCTTCTGTTTCTTTTCAAAAGATGAATCAGTCTAGTGTATGTTATTGTGAGACATACTGTTGTGGAAAAAGTGGTTTTCGTATGAATGAACCATTGGTCTGGTAACTGTCATATATCCAAACATGGCTGCCAGAACACTTGTTTCTCATTTTCAGGCAGTTCACCTTTGGACAGCATGTTTATGAATCTCCTATTCATTAAAAGAGAAATGCTTTTTCACATGATGCATGTTTTGAGGTTGTAAACCAGCAAAGCTTTTGTTGACATGCTGCAGTATTGGACATTGGTTCTGGTGAGCTTCACTCAGTCCAGCTCTGGAAAAGAGACCTGGAAACCAGGTTATAGGTGGGACACCTTGAGCAGTAGGAGGTTAATGGGTACATTTATCAAAGCTGCCACACAATGAAGCAGCAGTAGCCATCCATAGCAGCGATTCATCATCACACGAATGAAGGTAAATTAATCTGCTGTAGATTTTTGACGCCTGTTGAGATGGAAAGGGGAACCATCCTTCACTAAAGTCACTGTGAAAGAACTGACCAACCACATTAGTGGTGTAGAGAAACTTGTGAATAATGTACTGTCTGTTTAAATACACTTCCTAATGCACTCTGTTTATCTCTATAGATGAGCCACTCTGGCTGAAGATAAATAGGAAATTAAAACTGAAATAAAGAAATGACCATCTTTTATGTATTTATTTGTTACTACTCCTCTTGGGATCCATTGTGGATTGATGCACGGATGCCACATGTTTCTTCAGTGAGAGCTACAGGTTTTTATGCTATTTTGATCTTTATTCTCCTCTCCTCCCAGCAAGGTAAATCCATAGCCACCTTGGCTGCAGACACCAGTCGCCACCTTTTGGTGTGCTTCTTGTGGGTGATGAAGAATGCTGACCGGAGCCTGATTCAGCGCTGGACAGTGGATATGCCTCCCTCACAGCTCATCAAACTCCTGGAGCTCCTCAGCATATGCGTGTCTTGCTTTGAGTACAGGGTCAGTCACGGCTTTCGTGCAGATTGTTTTGCGTGATTGCTGTTGCACTAGCTGATTTGCATTTAAATTTAATTTCATGCTTTTAGAATTGAGAAGAAAAGCTGCCTATTGTGCGTTTGAACACCTTGCCTTCTTGTTCATGTTTATTCTTAAGGAATACGTGTGTTTATAACTGGTGATTATGTATTTATGCACATTTGTAGGGTAAGCAAAGCAGTGACAAAGTAAGCACCCAGGCCTTACAGAAATCTCAGCAGGCTAAACTGCAGCTAGAAGAAGCCCTGCTGAGAGGAATGGGAGCCCGTGGGGAAATGATGAAACGAGTCGGAGGTAACGCATTTGAATGTTTTTGTTTTTGTTTTTAATGAACATGGTTTCAAATGTTATTTTTCTGTTTTATGTAAACCCACAATATGTCTCCCTACAAAGGTAATGGTAATGCAGGATCTTAAAGAGTTTCATAAATATATGGTTTGGCTATCTTATAAGAGTAATAATAGAATCTGACGGTAAATACAATCTTACTCCGTTCAGTTTCTTTGATGCACTTGGTGTTTTGCAATAGCTGCATACAAGAGTTTAAATTCTAAACCTTTGCTCATTAAACATTATTGTAAGTTATCTATCACATGTATACAGATAGAGTTTAATTTGTCATCTACAAATTAGTAAATGCACAATAGCCTATCACTATTGCTCTTTAAATAATTAGCTGGTTTTGCACCCCTAACAGGAACAGATAGGACTTTGGGTCAGAGAGAGCACCTACGCTGGAGGAAAGACCTCACTCAGTGGCGCCAGACCAATGACAGACAGGATAAGTATGTTATTTGCCTCCTTTTCAGTTTTCAAATCTTTACTCGAATAACATCTGCTGGTTTTGCTTCATGACTTTCTTTATATTCCTTTTATTTTGGTTAGATTTTTGTTTTTCAACACATTTTAATCAAAATGAATATTTCTTACTTTAGAACAAAAGCGGAGTTGGACCAGGAGGCTCTAATCAGTGGGAACTTGGCCACAGAAGCAAACCTCATAGTGTTGGACCTGCTAGAGACTATTATACAGGTCAGAAAACGTTCTCAGTCTTGCCTGTAAAGTATAAAGTGTCTGACGGTGTCTGGGCTGGAAGAATAAAATATAATGATATCATCTTTGTGAAATAAATCACATTCCAAATCTGGGTCAGGGAGACCATAAATCTACAAAAGTATGTAAGTTGACAACTAAAACCAGCTGATCTAGCGAATAAAAAGATCCCCAAGTTAATATTTGCCACCATTACGATCTCAAACCCCCAAAAAACGTCCTCATGTTTGATCACATGTAATATTTATCATGTCTCCCCTTACCTGAAGTATGCAGCAATGCCGTGTGGAAGCTTGCATAGATCAATGACACTTGGTAAATGTAGCTGTTTTGTGTGACATCGCAGTATATTATGAATTTCTGTGGTTAGTTTTCAGCTATAGAGGAAATTTAGACAAGCTGTAATACTACTTGTTTGGTTTTCCCCTCTGTAGCAATGCACAAAAAAACAATTTAACATGCAAAAAAAGAGTCCTCACCAAAGGTAGTTATTCTCCCTGCAGAGGAACCTGCCTCAGAACTACTTTAAAAACCTTGTAGGGGTACAGCCTTTTACCTATTGAGAGCGCTCAACATGATGCCAATTATGTAGCTGAATCAGCTGAAAAAAGGTGCTGCGTTCACCAGAAATAAAAGAGAGATGGATGTTCACTGATGCTACTGATGCACCCAGCCGAGGATGATGTATAAAAAAAATCTATTAATCTACTAATGTTTACAAAATTGGTTAAAGAGCAAACATGATGTTTGGTTGGTAACATAACCCTGCTTGGATTTATTTTGAATGATTTTAAAGCATAAATAAAAAATAAATGTTTTTCATTTGACTGTTTTATAGTTTGTTCCCAGGAGCTATTAGTCTTATATGATAAGGAAAAAACCTCTCTGTATCGCATCTCCAGGCAGTGCCCTTGTCTGAGTGTAAGGACAGTGTGGTTGGCGGGGTGTTGAAGGTGTTACTCCACTCTCTCACCTGCAACCAGAGCAGCACTTTCCTCTCTCACACCTTCAGCACACTCCGGGCACTTGTCGTCAAGGTAGTGTCATTATGATAGTCAGTATGATATGTGTGCATGCTTGTTTGATTGCGTTTCATTTTGCCGTGTAAAAATTCAGGAGGGGGTGTGTGAGTTGGTGTGTTTACACAAACGTGATTTCTGTCTAAATTAAATGTTCTCATTTGTTTGTGTGGGCAGCAAACGGCAAATACAAGCCAGAATTATTTATGTGTACAAGTGTACCGTCTTGTGCATCTGATGTTATTTGTGTGTAGTTTGGAGACCTGTTGTTTGAGGAGGAGGCGGAGCAGTGTGCGGACCTGTGCCAGAAGGTGCTCCAGTACTGCAGCAGCCCCGTGGATGAAAACAGGAGCCAGGCTTGTGCCACCCTCTATCTCATAATGAGATACAGCTACAGTAATGCCAGTGTAAGAACACACACAAACACACAGTCGCCAGCAGGTATACACACAAAAGAATAGGGATCCCGCTCATGTGCATGCACACACACTTACAGAGCAAATATATTAAGTCCTACTTTGATTTGGAAAGGATCTATCCTTGCATCAAAAACTGCATTTACATGAGCTGAAATTTGATTTATAAGCACTTAAGAGTTCAGAATTGCTTGCAATGTGCTCTCATCAAGGCACACTAAAGCAGGGAGTCACTTAGATCTTTATCCCATCTTCCTCGCTTTTCCTCTCCTGCTCAGCTTTAATGTCTTTTCCATGTCTATTTTGAGCATGCTGCAGAAAGTTTCTGCTGAAGGATGTGTCTCTAAGTAGAGAGCAGAGAGATATGTCACTGTCTGCCCTCTCATTTTCCCACCCCTCTTTAACTAATGACAGGCGCCCCGTGTGTGTGATTGTGCGTACGTGTATGTACTGTATGTGCACAGGTATTTGTGCCCCAGGGGCCTGCGGCACAGACAATCCTGGTGGTGGTACAGGATGAGCGTTTCTACCTGAGGTTAAGCAGTGTTTGAGGGAAATGAAAAAGACAGGACTGAAAAAAGGCAGAGCTAAAAGGAGGGGATGTAAAAGATGGACTATCTTCTTTCATTTTCTGTGCCGGTTCGATTACCGCTGTTGCGGTCAATATTTCCTGTGTTTACCGTCTGTTTGCTTTAATGAAAGTCAGACACTGGACTATAGAGCACACTTTCACAGACATACAGTATCTTCAGTTTATAGAGAGTATTTCCACTCTGCGTGCCCCAGCGTATGTTTGTTTATATGGTGTATACAGAAGGAGCTGTGATCTGAATTAGCATAGCAGCCAAATGACTCATTCATACAGAACCTACTCTCTACCTCTTCCTTTGTTTACATTTTCATCCCTTTATCTGCCCACATTTTGCTCTCCATCTGTCACACAGACCTTTTTTTCCTCTCGTGTTCATTTAAGATAATGGAGTTAAAATGTTTAAAATAGATATTTCTACCATTTGAAAAACATCAATAAAAACAGATACTCGGGTCCAGTTCCAAAGAAGGTTAAAAAGAGATACAAAGAAGAAGGAGCCCGTTGAAATATAACGATTAAAAAAAAACAAAGAGGGTTATATGTTGACTTAAGCTATCATTTAGGTTTTCGGTGCACACACACATGCACACACTAAGTTAGAGGGCAGTGATGGGTGGTTAGGCTCTGGCTCCATGCTCAGTTGAACAGAATGGGGCCGTAGAGATGATCCATGGGTGATTATGTCCCTGCTAATGGGAGATCATTTCCCGCTTAGCTGGTCATGCTGGAGATGGATGGGAACTTCACACGTTGGTGTGCACATTTTCTCGCAGTCCTCTCTTCATAAGATAGGGGAGTGTTTGTCAGACCTGTTTTTCCCCCTTTTATTTCTTTGTATGGACACACAATGAAAAGGTGGGGACCAAAAACAATGCAAAACATTTATAAATTCATAAAATCTTAACTTGTCTGTTTTGACAGTTTTTTTTAGCTTACAGAGTAAAAAATGAACCATTGTTGAATTACTGGAAAATGGTCAAAATTTTAAGGAGCAAAGAATTTTCTGATTGCAACTTACAGTCAAGTCATTAATCTTTTTTCAGTTTCTCTGTGAATATGTCTCTATATAATCTTGTGACCTTTGGAAAGAGTGTACCAAAACTTTCATTTTTATAGTTGCAAAATGTACAAGGAAGGCTGGCTGTATCCTTGGAAGCAGCAATTTTTAGTTTGGCACCGAGTGCCTTCCTCAATTCAATTAATTTTAGCTTTATTGATTGCGCGTTATCCCTGCTGGTGAATCGGTTGTGCATCCTGCTGCCATGTCTTCCTCAGTAAATGATGCACATGCACCCCGCTGCTCAGGTAATGTGAAAGCCAAATTCATGAGATTACGCCACCTTATTTTGTGCCTTCTTGGTTAATTTCTGACCGTCTTTTGGCTGTGGCCTCTGGTCTTCAGACCTCACCAGTCTGTAGCTATGTTGCTGCACGTTGCAGTGCACTAGTCGAACAGCTCTCTGTTGTTGCCATGTTGTCAGATTGTCAGTGATCTGCTCAGCAGTAGCTCTTTTGAGACGTCTGGCCAACCCTGACTAACGTCAGTGAGTCTTGGCGTTTCCTTATATCCTGTAAAATGATCGAAAAGCTTGGACCTAATTGTCAAATCATCATGACCTGCCTATTAGAACATTTTATAAGAATCATAATCGCCTCCAATCTTATTTAAAAAAACATAATCTTAAAAAAACAAAGCTATTCTCCAGGGAAGCACAGGCCTCCTGGTGCCAACAGATTATATCAAGGTGATCAGCATCACTTACCACATGGGTCAGAAGTTTGATTGCATTACTTATTCTGCCCTGCCTTGAAATAAATGGTACATTGGTTTTTTTTTTACAGTCCACCGAAATGTCAAAAATGTTAAGTGATAGCCTGAATAAGTCGGGTGGTAATACCAATGTATGAGAAACCTCCAATTTCCATTCTTTTCCTCAGAACTTCTCACGAGTAAAGATGCAGGTCACCATGTCTTTGGCCTCGCTGGTGGGCAAGTCATCAGACTTCCAGGAGGAATACTTGCGGCGCTCCCTCCGCACTATCCTGGCTTACGCAGAGGAGGACACAGAGATGCAGAACACTCAGCTTCCCTCACAGGTACAAGCTGTCACACATTTTCACTTAATCTTTTTGTGGATCGTATCATAACGACCTGCCATTTTTTGCCTGTGTTTGTGTCAGGTTGATGAGCTTCTGAGAAACCTCAACAGTATTCTGTCTGACACAGTGAAGATGAGGGAGTTTCAGGAAGATCCTGAGATGCTTATGGACCTCATGTACAGGTAGCACGTCTGGAAATGGGCTGCTGTATTGTTTTTGTCTGCAGCATCTTTGTCCTTATATCATTTTCTTTGTCAACACTCTCTGGCTGCTCCCTATAGTTCACTGCTGGTTCCTATTTCTCTGTGGTTTGGGTTGTTTTGCCTCTATTTGGTGCCCTCACTATGGTTACCATGTGGTAGCAGTTTAGTCCTCTGATCTCGCTTTGTGTATATGCAAATCTAAACAGTGCGTGTACAAATGTCTGTGTGTTTGCACGTGTGTGAGACAGAGAGAGAGAGAGAGAGAGAGAGAGAGAGAGAGAGAGAGAGAGAGAGAG